TTTGCTGCGGATGATTAATGTTCGTGTTTTGTGGCGGCTGCTGCTGCTGCTGAGTCGACCAGTTGCCAGCGAAATTGCTGGAATTGTCCGGAGCGGAAGCAGTGCCAAACGGATCGAAAATGTCATCCGATTTTAAATTCTTCGCGTAATTGGCGTTGCCGCTCGTTTGCTCGCACAGATCACTCAACAGGTCAAAGTTCGTGCTGGGAGATGTAGTTTTCCCATCGGCTGGCTTCGGTGATGAATTCAAATTCAAGAGATCCACAGCTTCTTCAGCTCTTTTCACGCAGTCATCCAATTTCTTACAAAAGAAATATACAAATTGTAAATTTTAAATTACAAATTATCTAGATGAGCACTAACCACGAAAGAATCCGAATCGGAATCGCTTGAATCCTTGACCAAATCCACTCTGGCAAGTCTAGGAGATGGCGGCATCGGTCTTTTAGGTTTATCTTGGGGCCTAGGTGGCGGTGTAGCTTTCGCCTTAGGTTTACTAGCTAAAAAACGAATATAGACATAATACAATCATAATCCGGTAAATTGATCCGAATTGTAATTAATAATTACCAAAATTATCTAATGTTTCGTGCTTTTCTAATTGAGATCCAAATACTGTGTCTACAGCTTTGACAGTCTTATCAGTGAACCAAGGTGCCGGCTGGGTCGGTTGCCTCTCCGAATCCGACACGAACACATTCAAATTCACGACGAATCTCTCCTGGTAATGGTCGTTGCCTTCGGCCAAACAGTCCAAATCCGATCTGCAAATTAATTGCAACTTTACATATCGTATTTAATATATAAACAAATTCAAGTTACTTTGTGAATCTGATACATGTCTCCTCTTCAGGAATGAAACCGGTGTGGAATTGTATTTGGCAAATTTTCAAACCGGTGGCCTTCCCCTGCGACATAACACCTCCGAGGATGTTGCGAGCGTGATACACTATCACGCAGACGTCTCCACAAACGTTGGCGTTTATTTGTAAAGTGCACTGCAATATAAAAAATATACATTTGAAACTGATATAGTATAATTAACTGTTTGAGGGGCGGTGCATTGTACCACCTTTTAAACATGCCTAGTGGAGTGGTGGTTAATTTTCTAGAAAATGTCCAAGAAAGTGGTAATTCCACCTTCTAATCAGCAAAATCAATAAAACTATGATAACTGTAAACAACTTAACCAAGTTCTAGTTTAAAAACCACTGCCCAGATGTTATTTAAAATTATATATTATTTTGAGTTTGTTATGTTGTATTTGTAAACTATTTTTTTTAAGTAATGTTTCTTAAAAGGTATACATTAAATGTCTGTTTTTAATAATTAATAATTAAGATTTTCAATGTCAATTAAAACTATTTTTGAAGGATAATTGAGTCATCATAAAAAAGCAGTATTGAAATATTCTAATTCCATTGTGTTAATATTATACTGACGCACGTTTATCCATTTATCATGTGTGTAAGTATAACTAACATAAACATTTCAATTAAGGCTTGGCAGAACGAATGTAAACAATGATGATAAAACACGAACGTGGACTTGCGAATAACAAATTCTTGAATAACAAAGACACAAAAATATGAAGATTCAAAATGTGTAAAATTTCTTAAAGCGATGCTCACCTTTCCATCGGATATATTAAACAGTCTCATTGAATCGTATTCTTGCATCGTTGAGAGAATGCATCGATTCTCACTGTAGACTTCCAAATAGGGTCTACAACCGTCACGGACTTTAGTGAAGAGCGGCACAGGCTGCATCTGCAGGGAAACCAACGTGACTGGCTTATAATGAGGATACAGTGGAGGATGCTTGAGAATATCGGTCAAGTAATAAAGGTATCTCAGTTCGGAAGGCTTCATGTTCGGCGGAAAACGTTTCACAGCGAACATCTGCAATGCATCCTCTGGAACTCGGAATACATCTGCGTAGATCATCAGAGCGCACACCAACGTAGCGGAAGTTGATTTACCATCCTAGAAATAGTGTAATCAGAGGTGTGCAATGATAATTAATTTATCGTATATACCAAACAATGGATGACGCAAATGTTCCTGCTGTCACCTGCCAGGTATTGGTAGACATCTTCGCAGAGTTGGTACAAGGAGTTGAGGAGCGGCGCCTTGCAGTGTTCGGGATAGGCGAAGCCACAATCCACGACCCGAGCGTTGCCGAACTTGGAAGTGTAACTCCTTCCCGAAACATTGTAAACCGAATATTTCGCATTTGGGTGTCTCGTCTCCAAGAATACCTTAACATCGTCCACATGGTTAGTCCGGTAAGCTGACTCGATGCCTTCCGATGGATAAGGCATCACCACGATCCGCGATGTTATATAACTAATATCTAAATCGCTCCTAGCAATGGATCTGGAACGAACATTAAGTGTTGAGAATAATCGCGCATGAGTCGATCGTCAATTAATTACTGCTGCATCGTTGCCATCACTTTGGAGCTGGTGTCTTTTAGTCCCTTGAAGAAACTACCGGCGCCTCCCTTAATCGAAGAGAACAGTCCGGATGGGGCGGCAGCGTTTGCGTTGTTGTTGTTCTTGGGATCCTCGACTGGAACCCTGCTGAGACCTTTCTGTGCCATCGGCGGTGGCGGGGCCGGTCTCTGTGGAACTGAAGTCGGCCTCTGCGGCACCTATAACCAACAAACAAATCACCGTGATAATCCAGTAAGAAAGAGGAAGTCGGATCAATGGAAAAGCTACTTGTTTCTTAGGAACCGGGTTCGTCGGAGCACGGATACCATTCGCCTGATTACCGTCGGCGCAATCTTCCACTTCCGGTTTGGGCGTCAAGTTCTCCAGCGGCGCCCTCAGATTGTAACCGTTGCTCTCGGCGATTGCGGCCAATCTCTCCAGGATACCGGAAACGCTGATCCGGTGCTCGGGATTCACTTGGAAGCAGCCGCCTTCGGAAGAAAACCACCTTTCATAAAATGCACTCGGATTTGAGCGAATGCGTATTAGGCACGGGCGCAATAAGAAAAGAACGCAGAAGTAAATAAATAAATATATATGCGAAAAGTGAGGCCCATTCAGTGTTTAAACGACGCACGATTGAATAATAACCAGCTAATAAAGCTTATCCAATTTCGTATCGAGTTACAAATGTAATGAAAATCTTTTATGTGCAACACCCATTTATCTTCATTTTATTATTATCAACTATTCACTTTTTTTTTCATACGCACTGCTTGACTTACGTATGATATCGTGGAAACAACTATACTTCGGATCCGGCGGAAGCACGTAATTGGCATTGATTATTCGCAACTTTGCGCTGTCCTCGTATGGGTGTTTCATGTAACAAAGAGTGTACAGGATGCAACCTAATGCCCACACGTCTACAGGTGGACCGACGTAGAAGTTACTCCAGGAGTCTATCATTTCTGGGGCCCTGTACATCGGCGTTGTGAATCGAGCCAGCTACAATATCAGATTAAATGCGTCGACGCGCAACAAGAATCTTCTTACATTTTCCTCCAGAGTAGTCCTCTTGTTCACGCTCCACGATATATCGGGTCGGAACACCTCCAACGTTGCAGACCCAAAGTCGCATAGCTTCACCGTACCTTCGTTGCTCAGTAGCAGATTTTCTATTTTTAAATCGCGGTGGATGATTGGAGGAACTTGGGAATGCATATGCGAAACCGCCCTGCATGCTTGATAGAATATTCTTGTGATCACGTCTAGTTCAAAGGGTGCAGTGCGCAATTGTAGAATCTCCATCAACGATCCACCTAAAACAATATTCATAATTATCCATTTAGTTAAGCCACATCGAGTGCATCCGTACATCACCGGCCAAAGTCGGATAATAATTCCAAATTCGTTAACTACTTTTTTCATAATTTTTACATTATACTATTTACGCTGTAGATAAAACAAAATATTGATGATGAATGTACAAGTTTACTACAAATGTACAAAAAAATCTTTGAAATGTCTATTTTTGAATAATAGAAGTTAAATGAAAATGTGAATTAGGTTTCCTTTTACTGGTAAACTGCGGCCAATAGTCTTTTGTATATGTATACAAGAAAAGTTAAGTCACATATGTATAGAAGAAAAGTTAGTTAAACCACATAATGGAAGTCGGGTGCATCCGTACATCACTGGCCAAAGTCGGATAATAATTCCAAATTCGTTAGTTTCTTTTTTCACAATTTTTACATTATAATATTTGCGCTGTAGATATAACAAAATATTGATGATGTATGTATAAGCTTACTACAAATATAAGAAAACACTTTTAAATGTCTACTCTTGAATAATAGATGTCAAATGCAATTGTAAATTAAGTTACGTTTCACTAGTAAACTGATGTCAATAGTCTTTTGTATTTTATTTGTATATATGAAAAGTTACAATATCTAACTATTTCATTTAGTCCCTAATTAACTAAATTATCATTGTCTTTTGTTATGGTTTTATTAAAAATACGCAATTTTTTCGTTTACTTTTTGTGACCTATAATATTTTTATATTAATATCAATATTCCTTATTCATCCCTAATAACATATTAATATTACTTTTTTATTGCATTTCGTTCACACTTGGATTAAGTTTGGTAAATATTCAACCTGATAACTAGCTGATTGCGGAAAACAACTAAAACAAAATTGAAATCGATAACACAATTTCATATAATTATAGTCTTATAAAAAAAACCAAGTAACAAGTCAAAAAATATCGTTTATAATTAATGTCACGTACTACTATTTCCGTTTATATCCACATTTTTGTAACTATAAAAAGCTCTAGGAATAAATTCATTTGGTTACAATTTATGTAAAAGAAAAAACACAAATTTATAATTAAAGGTTGTAGTATTACTTTTCCAGTTCAATAATGTTATTGAAATACAATCATTAGAAGTCCTTTAATCCTAGTAATGTTCATATTATAGAGGACAAAGTGAGTTTTGCGGCTATAATAACATAATTAACTAATGGCAATATGAAAATAAATTTTAGAATTTATACGCAATGCATCAATCTGTACTTCCGATCGACCTAAAAACGCCGGAGATTGGTGTATTTCATAAAACAGTTGTAGATAATTGAATAGAAGAATATAATTATATTATTAATAAAAAATAAAATTACAGAAATAATATTAAATATTTAAGTAAATGAAAGATTCCATCAAAACGTGAATGTTTTTCTATTGTCTATTCATATTTATGACTATTACTTTGTAATATAAGTTTACTACAAGTTGTAGTAGTAACAAAGGGCCATTTAATGTAATCTTGCTACCACAAATGTACATTATCTTTGTTTTGGTGAAAACACCTATTCAAATTTCAAAACATAGATATGTTACAGTATAACTTTTTCCCTTATATCAAAGTGAAATGTAACAAAACTAATGATGATTAAGCTAATGAGACAATATTGTAAAGTAGTATAGTTTTGAAAGAAAGTACTAACCTGTGCATAATTCAGTGACCAATAGGAATTCATGTTGGCCATGACCTGTTTGGCTTTTGTCAATGAATGATGTGCTTAAGTACTGGATGATGTTCAGGTGGCCAGAGACCTTTTTAAGTAAATTGATTTCATTGATGATATTCCTTTTGGCCTCCTCATCGGCAGCCAACAATCTCTGGAATGGAAAATGTCAAATGTAAATATATATATAGCTGAGAAACAATGCAACCAAAAAAAACAACAACCTTCAATGCATACTCCTTCCCTGTGGCAACATCCTGGGCAACGAATACAACCGCAAAACCACCTGCATCGAAAATATTTCGTTATTATTACCATATTTTTTCGAGAGAACAAAAATCAATAGGGATATATGTGCGGTATATATGTAATTTTTTTTACCCTCGGCGATAACCCTTTGGATCCGCAACTTGACGTTCGAGATCTCTATTGTCTGTCCGACGAAGGGGTTGTCGCTTTGTACCGCGCCTGGACCGCTGAAGTACCCAAACGCAGATTTGAATAAATCACTCATTGTTTGAGTCACTTTTCCAATTTCATTGCACTTTCAACCGAATCAAACGACCACCAAGAACTGTCATCGCATCTTAATGTTGGCATCTCCCTTCCAGTTAGACCAACCTCGACCACCTGAAATTGCCAGTTTTTTATACAGCAAGTTACTAGACTTACGTTGGAGTTCTGTCTTTTGACAGATCGATTTTGAGTGCGGCCTCCAGGCTGATTTAATTGATAATAATAATACTGACGGATTGGATGGGACAGAATACGTTTTAAGTGCGACGAAATATGTCTGGTATTGGTGGTGGTGATTTAAAACCTGTACTTCCGAAAAGTGGACAGCTGATTATAGAGGATGTTGATGATCTGGTGCTGTGCAAGCCAAGATTGATCCCACTGAAGAGTTTCACATTGGAGAAATTGGAGAAGATGCAACGCGACGCCTACCAGACTGCCGAGAAATTATCAAATCAAGAAGCTAAGCACTAAGAATAAACTCAAAATGCATTACGGACCACTTGTCACCAAGATTTTACTCTCATTTATGCTGTCCACCAGTGTGCTATTCAGATATGGCAACTGGTTTCGACACCACATCATTGTCACATTGGTTGTCCAACTAGCATGGTTTTTCAGCTTCTTAATTATATTTGCTTTACCACTTGATGTGATCTCTGTATGTACTTTTCAGTAAATCATATTCCTATTAGAATTCATGTTGAAATCTATTTCAGACTGTATTTAGGCAATGTGTTGAGGAGAATGTACATTTAAATGCAACAATTGATCCTAATTCCACAACTCCAACACCAATCACCTGCGAAGAACCATGGAGTAATGTCCCAGAGAGCATTTTCCCAAACCTCTGGAGGACAGTTTACTGGACAATGCAATGTTTAACATGGTATTTAACATTTGCTTTAATTGCAATAAGAAACGTATTTAATACTAATCATTTACAGGCTATTCATGCCAATGATGCAATCTTATATAAAGGCCGGCGACTTTACCATAAAGGGAAAGTTGAAATCGGCGCTGATCGATAACGCCATTTACTACGGATCGTATTTGTTCATCTGTGGTATTTTATTGATTTATTTGGCAACTAGACCTGGTATTGATATATTTGAATGGTGAGACATTATTTCTTATTATTTACGTTTTGTTTATTTTCTTAAACTTTTCGTAGGTCAAAATTGAAGGCCATCGCTTCATCAGCCAGTAACACCTGGGGTTTATTTTTGCTGGTTCTTTTACTTGGTTATGCGTTGGTTGCTGTGCCACGTAATTTATGGAACAACTCTAATCAATCGTATGTTTTAAATCACGCCTATTTTAAAGCGGCGAAATTAAGCGCCGATAAAGCCGAAGCCGAAGAAATTGTTGATGATGTTTTAGAGGTATTTACATTACAATATTTGACTTAAATCCAATATATATTTTACTTTTCTCCAATATTTCATTCATTATTAGACTTTAGTTCAATTCGAACTATACGAAAAGTTAACATAATAACGTCTGTTATTTTTGATGGTGTATTTTATTAAACAATAATATTTATTGAATCAGAACAAAATAAAAACTCAATACAATAATACAAATATAATAAATAAAAAAAGTCAACTGCTTCAAAGGGCTATTGACCATAGATCTTCCTGGTCGTTATTTTGTTATTATATATATTTTCTTAGCAAACAAATAATTTCATATTATGTAGAGAAAAGAAAATGCAATAATAGGATTTTTATATAATTGGATTTTTGTATTAAAGAACACGCGTTAGTACAAATGTGTATTATAAAAGAGTTATTTTATATAAGCTGTAATAACTATTGCTATATATTAGGTGTAGGAAACTAAACTAAAGTGAATTTATCAATAGACTGTTAACAAGTTGACATTGACGTTGTCTCTTGGCAATTTGACGTTGATGGTTAGCATCTTGACGTTGACTGTTAGCAATTTGACGTTGACGCTTAGCAGCTTGATGTTGACTATAAGCAATTTGACGTTGCCGCTTATCAGTTTGACGTTGACTGTTAGCAATTTGATGTTGACACTTAGCAAATTGAGGTTCTGTGAAATGATATTGACTTAAGCCGAATTTGAAAATTTCTTCAGTAATTTTTAAATTTCTTTCAAGCAATTAGTAACTCATTTACTGTTAAATTGTTGTGTACACTAATTATATTTCTTAAATAGTCTTTACAGGCTATTTCCTTGGCAGTGAGACCAGGTCATGCTCTGCATCAGAATTTGGAAACTATAATTCAGAAGGTACCAAGCGAGCTCAAGGATCGAATGAACAGGCGCCAGTTGCCCGATGATACTCCCACAGATTCTCCTGGAGAAAAGACGTTGATTCGTTTACATAAACAGGTTATAAAATCTCTGCAAGTATTACAACGTACCGAAACGCAATGGAGTATCCTCGTCGAGAAAATCTTTGCCCTGGAAGATACCTTGAAGAATTTGAATTCGCGCGATCGTGTCTACAAACGTACCTTCGACAAACCAAAAACTGTCGTCGGTAGGATCTTCTACAGCTCTACCATCGAATGGTATTGGAAGTGTGTATTTGCTAGTTACATGAAGAAAATGCTGTCAGTCTTGGCTGGTATCCTCTCCGTTGCCGTCGTTTGGTCCGAGGTGACGTTCTTCAACAAGCAGCCGGTCCTATCGATCTTCGCCTACATTGTAAATGTGGCCAAAATCAATTACGACTATTCAACGATTGAAGTATGTTTAAAATATTCTTTCAGTTGACTTTTTCTTCAATGTTCTTAATTTCTAGCTTATGTCCACGCTCGTGATCTTATATCTATGCTACTGTGCCTATTCGACAGTGCTGAAGATCAGAGTTCTGAATTTGTACTACCTAGCACCTCACCATCAAACCAACGAGTACAGTTTGATCTTTTCCGGGATGATGTTGAGTAGATTGACGCCTCCGCTTTGTTTAAATTTCCTGGGCCTCATCCACATGGATAGCCACATCATCAAGAAGCAAGTCTTGGAAACGCATTACACGCAGGTATGTACATTCACAATTTGTAGCAATTTTTGCAAATCTTCACCTAAAGTACTTGAACATATTAACTGTAGAGTTTAATTAATGCAATAACGTTTCCAGATCATGGGTCACATGGACGTAATTAAAATTATATCCGATGGTTTTAATATATACTTTCCGATGGCCATACTGTTCTTCTGCGTTGCCACCTACTTCAGCCTCGGAGCGAGGTTGCTGTCCGCAGTCGGATTCCATCAGTTCATCGGTGACGATGAAATTACAACGGATCTGGTGAACGAAGGAAGAGATCTCATTAAGAGAGGTTCGTATTGAATAATATGCTAAAGTCGTTGATAACTTATATAATATTTATAGAAAAACGCAAAAGGCAACGAGCTGAAGAAGCGATGATGAGGAGGCGGGAATTCCACGAGAGGTTCCCGCCCAGCGGTCGACTAAGGACCAGAGGGAGCACCGATACAAGTAAGGGTAATTGTCCCTATTTTCTCTTAAAATCCTTTTTATTACTTGAATTTTGTGGTAACTTATTGTTCGTATGTGATTGTAGTTCGCACCGTGCGCAATGACGATACGCAAGAATCGACGTTGCTGCCCGGTCGTAATCTGGATTACGAAGGAACCAGAGAAGAGGTGGACACCAGATTCCCACCAGACTTAGCCGACGATATAGACGCGAGATTCGGGGTGAGCACCAGGAATATCATCAATGAGCGGTACGACAGCTCCAACGAGTTGGAATTCTCTGACGGCTATCAGCTGGACACGAACTACCGCAACAGGGTCGGCATCCCTCCTAGAGGAATCTTCGATGATGTCTAATAATAAACACGTAGTTAGAGAGCGTAATGCAAAAAGAACTAAGTTATTCCGTCTAAACATGTTTTTTTTAATACGTTACTAAGAGAAAATTTATATATTGTTATAATCTAGCACAAGATTTTTTTTTGTTTTTGTTCCTAATTTATATACAAAGTACCGCATTCCGTAATTAGGGGAAAATAACATTAACAATTGGACAGGTTAGATTAATTTTAGGTAATTTGTTATCAACTAGTTAAGATTTAAATGATGAGAAGAAGAAAAAAAAAACGCTTTTTCGTTGTGATTTTATTGTTATTATTATAATTATTTTTTATTTAAATGATCATTTATTGTTTTTTTTGCCATATTGGAAATTATGCTGGTCAAACCTTGAAGGTTTGGCTTATAAAACAAGTTCGGATGTTGTGTATTATTTTATGTGTAAAATTTAAATGTAACTATTAAATAATAAACGTAAAAACTATTATTTTGTTCTCTTAATTCATTAAAATCCATGATAAATCTTTCTCCCATCTGACACTCCCAAGGTTTGCATTAACTACTGCGGCACAAAGAAGTTGTTTTTGTGCAAGTTTGTTCTTGACAGTTCTTGTTCTGCAGTGCTGGTGTAATAGCGGATGATGCTGATACCTCTACTCACGCTTATATAGAGCGCAACAATTCTGATTCAGAAATTATTATATTAATGTATTACAAATAGTTTTGAATCTAATAAAAAAGCATTGGTTAACATGCAAAAGTCTCTTTTTGTCGTAATACAATCATTTATACACTTTGTCTGGTCGTAATACATGTGGTGTATAAAATACACCGCGCGAGTAATTAATAGAAATTTCAGTGCGCGAGTAGTTAAAGGTTAAATGCGAAATCTCAATATTCATTTTATAATCAAACTGTCTAATATTAAGTACATTTTGAATCATCTGAGTTGAGAGGATTATGAAAATAAAAAAAACTAGTTACAACAAAAAAAAAAGTTTATTCTCTTCATATATATATATATTTTTTATAACTGCCATACATAGTAATATTAACTTATAAAACGAAATAATAATAAAATTAATGAAGAAATATTCACATTGGGAGAGAGAGGGGGGAGAGAAATGGAAAATTGTATAAATTAAATAGACAAAAATCGTTTCGAAGGAATCGTTAAATAAATTATAAAAAAAAATACAGAAAGGAATGTAGATTGGCGAAGAGAAAGGCAAATCAACCCCTCTTACTACTAATAATAATAGTTAATTATTATTTTCTTTATCAAGTTTTAAATGCGCTGCTTTTCCATTTTAATTTAGTTATTTATTAGTTATTGCTTTTATTCGCTCAATATAAATAAATGCAAATCAAATGCTAATCGAGAGGTATGTCCGATATCAATTAAAAAAAAAACACATCAATCGACCCGGTTAGAAAATAATCGAAGCGCGCTTAAGTCATTTATTCGTTTTCTTCTTTGTAAGTTATTAAGGTATTCTGTTTCATGTTTAATTAAGGCACGATTTTTTTTCTTCTTCCTCCTTTTTTTTTTTTCATACATTATTACTGGTTTCTTATTACACCGAGAAACAGAAAAGTCATCATCATTTAACATACTCGGTACTTTTTATGTTAGCGAAACAGGAACCTTATTTCTTTCTTTTTTGGGTTTGCATTATTTATTATTATCATTTCATGTGTACACGTAGAAAAATAACGCGAAACTTATTAAACTAAAAGATACCCACCAACCAAAAATTGATATTTAATTATTTATTTATAATTATTGATTCAATTATTTAAAAAAAAAACGCAGAAAACACCTCTCGTTTTCATTATATAACTTCTTTTTTTTTATTTTTCTTATCCACGATAAAATTAAAATACTGTACACTTTCTTATTACTTTTCGTGACTTTTTTTTTCTTTAAATAGTTTATAACATAATTATTACTTCAACAACTTGATTTTTCATCATCACCCAGCACCCAAACAAAACAAAAAAATAATAACATGAGCATTGCTTTTTTTCCTTCTTTCGTCTATATTATCGTTACTTATTACTTCTTTTTTTTTTATATAACCGTTTGTGCAACAATCGTAGATGTATAAAAAAATATATTAATAACAAGATTGTGTTTGTGTATGAATGTGTTTTAATCGAAACGGGGGTCCCAGTTTTATATATTTCTTTTAGTTTGTTTGTTTAATATAGTCGAAACAACATAGGGGGGAAAATAGATTATGCTCACTCGAAGAAGACTAGGGTTACTTTCAAAATGTTCAATCTCTTGAGTATCTTCACATCGAGAGAGACTTTGTATTTTTTTTAATAATATTTATATATATACGTATAAAATGTAAATGATATTTATATCCAGTTATTAATGTTTTTTTTTAGTTAAAAGTTTTGGATTTCTTTGGAGATAATCTCATACTTTCCGTTTCGCATTTAGTTGTGAACGATGCCGCGGCGCGGTGAATCACTTGAACACGTCGAAATTGAAGTCGCCGCCCTGACTTTGAGCATTTTGGTAGAAGGCGTTCGCGTTCGAGGGTGGAGCTGCTGCTGTGGCCGCGAATTGGCGGGGCTGGTTGATGGGCGAGGTCTGGTTGCTGGCCATCTGGTTCATGGTTGGCGCAATCGCTGACTTTCCGGCCACCTTCGACGTGAGCAGATTGTCCAGGTCGATGTTCAGCTTACCGGAGTTCGTCCAGGTCGAACCGACGGCGAAGGCCGCGTTCCTCTTTTCATCGATACTCTTGTCGCTCATCAACATATTGTTATGATTGGAAGACATTGGTTGCAATAGTTGAGTCGGCTGCTGTTGTTGATTTAGCACCATACCTGCAAGAATATTAGGAAACAAAAAATTACAAATACGTATATGAAAAGAAACATAATTAAACTTTATCTCTCTTTCTAAATATTAAATAATTTTATATAAATAACAGCAAGTGCTCGATTTAACGTGCATAAGTAAATATACATTAAACATTACATATATATGCACGATACGTTAGTACACATTTATTTCTTCGTTCGCATGAGCGTACTTAATGTTCATACGAACGTACAACGATCCGATTACATTATTGTACGTTCATACGGATATTTGTACGTTGGTTAAGTCAGGAAATAATCATATATAGTGGAACCTTGCTTAACGAGCATAATCCGTTCCAAAATTTTCGGATTTTTACTCGTATAGTGAAACAATTTTCTCCATACAAACTAATGTAAAATACGATTTTGCGAGTCATTTTTCTTACAATTTATTTTACTCTTTAAGCGAAATGCTCGTTAAGCGAGGTTCCACTGTACTTATTGTCGAAACTACGCAAAGTGAGTTTCTAAGAGAAGCTATGTATAATAAGATCGTTGCTTTAATTATTTATTTATTCAATAATATGAGTATTTATACAAAATCATGTTTTTCAAAGAAAAATCATGTATTCAAATTGTTGAAGGTCAAACTTCAATGAATATAATGTTGTTTTGTTCAATATTATTAATTGTTATTATGTAATTTATAGTCTGGCAAAAACATCGTTTGATATCAACAATTTATCTTCAAAGTTCTTAAGTTGAGACTTACATTTTTGTTCTTATTTTAGAAATATAAATTTAGTTATTCTTATATGAAAAAACAATACAATTTCTTCACTTCTTTTTTGTCAATTGTATAATTGTAGCAAATCGCAACAGTACGGAATCTATTCATAAGAAATTTATGTAATGAAAAACGTGAAATAAACGAACAAAATCTGTTGCTGTAAAACCAAACATAATTCAGGAAACGAGGAACCACGGCGAATACATGAATATTAATTAGGTAAGATACAAACAAAGAAGTCTAAATACATGCATATATACATGATTGTAAGACAGGAAACAGTGCGAGATGAATATTTACAGGTGAAAAATAACGGCAACTGATGCACGTAGATATATAACTAGTAATATTTATGAATTTCATGTTATTCTCTGTTTTTCTAGTACCTTTTTTTATTTGCTTTATTTGTTACCTCAGAAAGTTAGTTTACTTTTTTTTATGTATCTTACTTGTTAGAGTTTTTCGTTTGCACATATGATTATGATGAAATTTGTGATATATATATATATATTCTGATATTTATATCACAATATTTAGAAGTTGTAGAAAGTGTCAATATTTGTGAGAATTTTCCTAATGCTAAATTTTGTTATATATTAAATCTATTTAAAGATTTCTTGACTACTTTGCAAAATATTACTATGATGAATAATTGCTGAGAATAATTGTCTTGTTATTTAAATTTATCGAACGTAATCTTAATAAGTTTGTTGAGTCAAACTAGTTAATCTAGATTAATAATGGTTATACGAATATTATTAAAACGTTGATTGGATTTTATTAATTAATATAAAAGTAAATTACATCTCATTAAGCTTAAATGTAAACAATTCGCTTCGGCTACGTTCGTAGCACTGAAAGATCTGTTTAGCCAATATCCTGCACTCGGTATTCGGTTCCTTGCGAAACCTTTCATTCAAAAGATTCTCGATAAGGTCCCTCATATACTCCACGTGCCTGAAGTAGTTACCGACTATTACGAAAAGCAACTCTGTCACTGCTAGACGGACCTTCGCGTCCTCGTGCTCCCAATCCATCATGACAATTCGCATTGCCTCGGTGGCAAAGTCCTTCCCCTTAGTGCAATTCTTTCCAGCCACTCCGATAACGGAAAGCGTGTGTAGGTAGTTGATCAGAAGCAAAGCGTCCATTTTACTTTTGTAACCGTTGATGAGCGGGTAAAAGAAACTGTGCATACAGTCTTCGAACAACAGCTTCGTCTCTACCTTTCGACGGGCCTTCATGAAATACCGCGTCTTACTCTTCAATCTTTCATCCAGCGGCAACTTCTTCAAAGCAACATCATCACTGTTGCAAACTTCTCCTTTAGCCAGTTCTAAGACAGCTGTCTGCAAGATCATCAGAATTAAAATCCTGTGGCTTATACTGTAAATTCCTTTAGCGAATGAATGGAATTCCTGTCCGAGATATTGCGCGTAGCGATTTGGATCGGCTAATACTAAAGCCACGCACGCATTGAGCACGAGCTCATCGAAATTGTCCACGTAAAACTTCGGCGTTAACGAGATGAGAACATCCATAAGCTCTATGCCCAAACGGTAATTCGATTTGGTCATGTGAGCTTTGATAACTTTCTCACAGTTCTCCAAGCTCATCGTGAAGACATCAGGATCGGTGGCTTCCAATAAACCATCACGAATTTCGGATAAATAAACGGGAGGTTGTTTCTTGTTAACAGTGACATCGTTGCTCGTATCGTACGGCACCAAATCATCGTCCGAGTCCAGATCTTCGTTGGTTTCATTCAAACGCAACGAATTTATCGTTGTTTGCGATGTTACGGACTTCTCCACCACGCGTCTTTCTATAACAACCGGCATATAATTGTCACGTTTGAGCGGCACAAATTTGTGATCGGCGAAGCTTTCGAACATGACGATAAAATCTTGATCCGAATGGATTTCACTTGAAACGCCGTTAAAATCCTTCTCGTCTCCGGATCGCAGAATATCCGGATAAAAGCTCTTAGAGAGTTCCGCTTTCAAAACGCGCTCCGTTTCCTTTTTATAATCGAACAGCAATTTGATTGATTCCAGCGATTTCTCTTGCAAGAAATTTAACACCGTCTCTCCGGTTACCATTCCCATGCATCGGATTTCTTCTACGGCGCATTGCAAATGATTGGGCATTCCCAGCAGCACTTTATCTTTTATTCTTTTTCTCTTTTCAGCGCTCTTCTCGAAGTCTGGGATCATTGCCGCCACACTTACAATTATAAGTTTGGTGATGTAGAAGTGCTGTTCAACACTTGTTTTTTCAATAGCCAATTTATTCGACCAAGCATCGAGCAGATTCAGGATTAATTCAAACAACAAATCCGGTTGCGATTTGTGCAAGAACATCACTAAATTACTAGGCAGAGCGTACGACTTGCTGCATTCGAAGTAACTCAACAGCGGTAGCTTCACAGTTAAGATATGCTTCCAATTCTTATTATCTAGAAGACTTTTATCCATGACGTTAAGCAGATCATTGGGCGGCGTGTGTTTCAGCAGCTTCGGCGCCAAAATCTCAACGGCTTTAGCGCTCAGATTATTCAACATTCCTATTGTTAAACTTCTATATCTTTGATCTCTCCAAACGTACAAGAGCAACACGAAGTTGTTTAAGTCGCTTTCACAATTGCAGCAGTAGACCAGTAGAAATTTACTGACGAATTGACCCAATCGTTCGCCATTCAAATCCAACGATAAATGTACACCGAACTCCACGACTTTAAATATAGTGTATAGCAGGAATTTGGAATAGTTCTTCGGAATGAAAAAGTCGTTGACGTTACCGCTGAATGCGTTCGCCAGACGGGAGGGTAATGATATGATCATTTGCAGGAAATGCTCGAATTCCAATTGGTTCAGATCGTCGCTCAGATAGTAGATGAGAGCATCGAAGAGGCCCTCGTTAACCACGACTCCAGTGATCAAGTTTTCCCTGATATCGATTCCATCCATTTTCTGCGATAGGGTGTCCAATAAAACGGTCAGCGCTTCGACGGCGTAATGCCTATTCTCGATAAAGCAGAACCTGCGAAACAGATCGTAGGTGGCCGCATCCTCGTGACATCTGAAGTTCGTAACGAAGGACTGCACGATTGACCCGTAGCATTGGTCCAGGAAAGCGCTCCTTCTCGACTTTTTCTTTATTCTGGCCAGCGTTAGTGGACCAGGTAGATGCTCTAGGGCTTCCACGAACTTTGACCCAAGGAATTGAGAATCTTCAACGGTTACTACGGGTCGGCTCAACAGAGCCAGCACATCTTCACCACTTTCTGAAACCGAAAAACTCATTTGAGTTTCCCGGCCACTCACGCTCGTCTCTTCTCACCACATCATTATCACAATTTATTTAAAAAAAACTGCACGCAAATACAAAAAAAAATAACAAAGCTCGAATAAAATTACGCGCTGCAAACGATTTAAATACAAACATTTAAAATTTTCCATTGTTACAGTTTAGACTTTTGCAACCTCCGCATGTTTATTACAACATAAAATGTATATTTAAACTTTCAGTAATTAATTTTGTACGCATTAAGTGTACACTCCTTTCTTAACGTATTAATATATTAAAAATTAACCATGATATTATTATAAAAGTTGATATTGTTATTTAAATCATATATAAAAATAAAGAAATCAATATAAAATGGTGCAGAAAAGGATATCAATAGAAAAATGATTAATATACAAATTAGTTAGTTACATAGTATAGCTTCAATTCAAAAAAAATATTTCTGCAACTATGAACAATTTTATCACTTTCGAATATTCTGCATTAGTAAATTATATGTATTTTGATGACTAAAATGAAGCTGTGATTTAACCTTAAACCAAATAATTTCTTTAAATTACAAATATGTTTTTAAGGTAATTTACAAACCTAATTAGTATAAAACTAAATTTAAACCGAGAATGAAAACATTGACTAAGGATTACAATTAAATTGTAGAGATAGAATAGAAAACTAATTCCTAATTAAATATTAACCCAAGGGTAAACAAATCATGACTAAAGTTAACCAAACAACTAAATTTACTACACACGATTTGCTGATGTACAACTGTTGTTGTTAAATTTAATGTTCAATTGAAATATAATTTATATTTTTTTAGAGCGTACTTCCTATGGAACTTCTCCGTGATTGAAATTAATGGCAAACAAACGTTATAATGTTTCATTTGAATGATAATTATTTGTATCCTATTATTAATAATTACATAAATATGTAAATACTATGATGATGCTTGTTTAACGTATATATAAATACATTATGAATTAACAAATAGACGTATTATTTGCATATTTATCGTTTTAACAAATTTGTCCAATGTAAAATAAACTTTAAATATTTTTTATTTCTTCTGTTTGAATATTATTTATGTCTTCTAATTAGAGCTTATCGATTCTACGAGTTTCAAGAATGGTTCAATTCCGATTCGATTTGGACACGTTTTTCATTTAATTTTAACTTTGTGTCAGTTATTTATTCCAAACATAACAAATGTGCCACGTCACTAAATTGTTTATTGAAAAGCTAAGTAACCGTATCTGACAGTCAATGATAATATTGATTTAACTATAATATTGAGAAATTCATGAAATTTATAATAGTCTTATCTGGACAATTATATAATAATATACATGGTACTAAAATATAAAGAATTGTTCAAATAGAGGAGACATAAACTAATTGTGAACATCTATATAACTTTGAGTTAAAGGTTAACTAGAATTTTCTGAACAAATTTAAGTGTTAAAGTATATAGAGACAAATAAATAACCTCAAGCTAAAAGTTAATAAAAAAAATAAGTTTAAAATAAACTGTACTAATTATATTGAAATAGGAATATCCGTTATGAGGCATTTCAGTTTTTTTTACAATTGAAACATCGAGAGAAAATGAATGAACTTAAGAAGAAAACTTTAAATAATGGAGAATAACAACAAATACAAATCTATGCATATTATCTGCCTTAAAAAAGATACATGCCTACCAATACGACTCTATAGTAAATATCTCTATAAATTGCTTAAATATACATCAAGAAAGAAGTAAAATACATTGAAGTGAAAATATTTTTACTGGTTACTAAGAATCATGTTTGAATAATTATTGAATTCTAACATATTTATTAAAAAAAAAGATATATTATAAATATTGTAATATATCCTTTCGTTCATTACTAATAGCAACTTTTTGAGTATCCACTTTCTAAAATTAAGAAACTAAATATCATGTAATAATCACGTGTTAATGTTATTTTAATAAACTACTTAATAATACTACAACTTAGATATTGAAACTAGATTTAAATAAATATTAAGTTGTCAATTTCAATATATTCATTAAGAAAATTTTAGCAATTAATGTTATTCGCGATTAAATTTACTGAATATTCAAACATAAAATGTTGTAAATTAATTAACATTCATATTATATTTTTTGTTGATTCATCAAAATTTATATGTTTGTCAATATTTCGCTGTACAATTATTCACTTTTGTTTGTAATTATTTATGTATAAATGTTGCAATAAACATTGTTGTTATTTATACATCATAATACTGTTACTAATTAAGAAAATTTATATTCATTAATTATAATAAAAGTTAATTTTTTGACTGATATAAAAATATTAAATTATTTCTGTATATCTGAAGTATTTGAGTAAAATTCATGTGCAATGTAAATAGTTTGATTAACGCAACCGAGGTGTAAGAAAAAAAGACTTTGTTAATTACCTGTTGAGAAATCGTCCAGGAGATCGTTCTGGTTGCCGTTCGTTTGCGTCATGAGGTTATTGGTGGTAGTGTTGTTTATGTTGAGACTGTCGAAACCTAAGTCGCCCAACAACAGATCATTATTTGGTTGCGATGGTACAGCAACTGGTGTAGGTGCTACAACTGTCTCGAACAAATTAGGCTGATGAGACTGCGGGGTCGTCGGGCTGGTAAAGGCCGAACTGAAGTCTGCAAAGTCATCGTCGCTTTTCACGGGCGTCTCCTCCAGGGAGCTGCCTGCCCCGAAAGCCGACTCGAAGTCCCCAAATTTCTCCTCCTTGGTAACGCCCCCACCATCCATCGCGCGCGGATTAAAGTCATCGTTCAGGAGATCCGCACTGGTCTCGTTGTTACCAATAGCTGCGACCATATCATCCTTCCCAAAGTTCGCCGCCGCTCCAAGATCAACCTTCTTTATTGTTTTCACTGCCTTAGCCGGCGATTTCGTTATAGACGAATTCAGGTTCAAATTGACCCTGCGATCCGCGTGCTTAGGACTGCCAACTTGCTCGGTATCCTTATACCGACGAGCATTATTATGATTGGACTCGGAGTCGCTTTCCTCCTTCTCCACGTCGTAATCCTCCTCGAAAGATCTATCCCTGTACCGATTGTTACCACCCACATCAGCCTCGTTGTTGCCATAGTCGCTATTGCTCCTATTGTAATAGTTATCATCCATCCACCGATCGGACCCGCCTTCAAGAAATAACAACAAAATTACTTTCAACTGAAACATCTCCAGTATTCAATACTAACCAGATCGCGATCCACCCATCATGTCCCAGCTCATACCAATATACTTGTCCTTATTCTTTTTCGCCTTTTTCCGTTCCTCCCTTAATTTATCATCGTCTTGTATGAAATCAATTAATTCCTTAACTTTGTGCCTAATATTCACGCCCTGATCTTTATCGTGCTCATCAGTGAACGTGTAATTCTCTAAAGTGCGTAAATCGTAGATGTGCTCCCTCGCCGAAGTGACGACACGCTCTGAACCGTTTCTAATTAAATAATTCAATACTAAAAGGGATTTGTATGTGCGGCGCCAATGCTGCTTATTGTCTTGCAACATCCTCTTCCATAACATGGACATCACTTCAGGGAAATGCTCATAGGTGAATGTGGAATGTGCCAGCTCCTGCATTATCTGCCCTGTTGGCCCCCAGGCCTCATCATTAGTTGCCTCCCTGACTTTTGCCTCAATCTCTGTGTAGTTCATTACAACATTTGTCCTAGAAAAAAAAATTGTAAGATTAAAAATTAAATATTATGTTTTGCATGTGCCACAGATTGTTTTAGCAATTAACGTCATTGGCTATTGTTTATATCAGCGATTCCGCTAATATGAGATAAACATCTGTGTGCCAAATGTACAAAACTGTCAATATTTTGTGTGTATATTTTTTTTTGTAGATTTGACCAACTTTATTTGTCTACTTACACTTTATCGGCGATTTCGCGCACTTTCCACATTAAGAAGTTCTCCATCATCGCTACGGGAAAATGCACAGAGCCTCTGCAAAAAAAAACAGCGAATTCACCTTCGCGAAAAGTCACTCTCCTCTTTCCCACTTGTACACACTAATATCCACTTGGAACTTTTCACCAACAAAACGGTGATTTGGCTGTCAATGGCTGTCAACCATTTCCATTACATCACCAAATTTCCAGTGTTCCCAACATTAGAAACCGCACCAACCGCTAAACTTCCCCTAAAATTTCACTTTTCAATTGTATTCTTACGATTATTTTCCTACTTTTCAATTGCATTTTTTACTTTAAAACCAATACATTTTCGTCTTTTTACTACAAAAAAAAATGCATTTTGATCTTCAAAAACTCTCAATACTTTACACATAAAAACAAAACAAAATGAAAACTTAAAGAATATTCACAAATAATTGATTAAAACTTGAAAATATTTCTATATCAACAAATTATTCCAATTTTATAACATTACCAATAATTAAGCATCACTTAATCAATAGCTTATCAATAAATATTGATTAAAACAATTAATATATTAAACTTAATTGTTTATTTTTGTTGATAATTAATTATTTAATCTTTTAAATTTATATTTCAGATTAACCCAATTAAACTATAAATTAATAAATGTTATAATAACCATCATTAATCATAATTAATATATAAAATGTCATTCTACATATTATTCAATTTTCGTAACAAATATACTACTATACAACAGGTTTGCAAAAAAAATGAGAGTATTTTAGTGTTATTTATTTAAGAGTTTGAAAGGCATAATAAATAAAACTTATATTAATTAAATAGAGATTTGATTCTGTAAAAATTATATCTTTTAACTTAAAAACCATCATTTCAATCACAATATATCCAAGAAATGTTCTTAATTTACATGTTAGACTTGTTTTGAAATTTTCAAACAGGACTATTGAAAATTTCAAAATAAACTAAATTTGTAATGAGAAAAGTACAAATAAATTCTTAAAATATTAGTATACTGTCAAGTCTCTTTTTGTCCTGTTTAATTTTATACGATTTTAAAATCTTCGATTAGTCCGGTTTCAAACAGTACGGCTTATTAGTAGAAGCGATTATCCGCACTATTCGAGGTATTATAATAAATAATAAAATAATACTTTTACCAATATGTTTTACAGTATATAAAGCTTGTACAATTAAATAGTTCACAATTCCATAAAAATTCTTATCCGATAATATCTATACAGCTTTGTGATAAGAGTATTAGAACTGAGCATCAAAAAGATATTTATATATTATTTTGAATATTTTTTTTCAATTATGTTTTAATATAAAATATTTATAATATATATATTTAATAATAACTTCAAACTATTTATTCAAACTATTTATTTAAATTTGTTCTTAGTTTTATAATTAAATAACAATAATATACAAAATTTGTTTGTTTGCATATTAAAAATTATAGTTTACAGCAAAAAAAAAACACACAGTTAATCATATGTCAGTTTATCAACAACTGACGATAAAGGAAACTTATAAATATACGTCATAAATAACAATAATATTTCATTGTTTTGTTTGATAATAGTAATGGTTGCTTATCGTTCAATATTTTAAAGAAATACACTACAAATGAATACTGTTTGTATTATTTCATTTGTTTAATGGTAACTTTCCAAAGGATTTTATTTTATATTATTATATTTTTTTACATATTTACCTCTCAGATTACGTAAATTATTGTCTTGTGAATAGAAAACAATTTTATAAAGAATTTTTAGAATTTTTGATTGTTAGTAGAATCAAAATTTGTTAAAAAACATTAATTCTTGTATTTAATGCAATATTTTTGTACCCATGCAAAATCAATTTTGAAGCACATTAAATAAATATTATTATATGATTATCTATCAATTTCATCTTTGTATTTATCAGTTTATTTAAAGACGATATTTTACCTATTTATCATCATATATGTTACTTATGTTATTTGTATTTAATAACCAAAATAGATATGACATAAACTGTGTTTATATAAGATATTTTCGATTTAATCGTAGATTACTTAAAACTGTCATATCACATAATAACTATTTATTTTACTAATTACCTCAATTTAGCATAACGTGAAACTAATGATCATTAATTTCTAATAAGATTCTTAACTGATACATATCTCAAAATTTCATTAGGACAAAAAATTAAAATTTATAGAATATTTACTTTATATTCTAATAAATTTAAATTATTTAAATTTAATTTTCCAAGACTTATTTATGGAAAATTAAAAAAAAAAATAATTTGGATATTTTTTCTAATTTATGTGTTAAAAATAGTCGTATAAACATTGACTTTAATATAATTAGTAGGAAATATTATATAATCAAATATATAATAATGATTATATAAGAATATACAAGTTTTAAAATTCAAAGTGTGCATAATATCAGACAGTTGTCTAAATTTAATATACGAAAATGTAATAATGCAATTAAATACAGGAAAATGAACTCAAATTTAAAATCACTACCAACAACCATAAATAATGGATTTCTACAGTTGGAGACACTGTCACAAACTTAGTTTTAACTTTTAACTCTTGTTTTGATAAGTTATTTGATGTTAGCTGTCATTGGCTGTCACTTTGATATTGGAGTGCATAACCATCAAATGTTGGGTCGAGAATTAATCGCTTTGGAACATTCTAAAAACAATGACATTAAACAAAGTTGTGCTGCTGGCATGTGGGTCCTTCAACCCACCCACAAACATGCATTTGCGAATGTTCGGTAAGTTTATTGTCAAATTAAATTTTCATATTTAAAATGATAAAATTTCTAGAAATTGCCAAAGACCATTTACACCGAATGGGTCAGTGTTTGGTCGTCGGTGGTCTCATGTCACCTGTGCATGATGCATATGGAAAAGCAGGACTGGTTTCCTCTACACACAGATTGGCAATGCTGAAAATGGCTTTGGGCACAGATCATTGGATCAAGGTGTCCGATTGGGAAACAAACCAGGAGTCTTGGACCAGGACTAGACCTACAATTGAATACCATCAAGTAAAAATGATAATTTATATATATTTTTTAAATGATTTAGTTTTTAATGTTTTCAGAATCATATCAATTCAATATTGTATGGTACCAATGGAAATGGTGATGAGTTTTTCCAGAATTCAATCAATTCTGGGCCTGTGCAAGTGAAATTGCTTTGCGGCGCCGATTTATTAGAGTCTTTTGGTACGCCAGGATTATGGTCTGATGATGATGTAATAATATTACCTAATGATATGTTCACAACTCTGCACTTATTTTTATTTCATTAATAGGTATTATGTAAGAGCAGAATGTGAATGTATCATGTGTTTGTGTGTTGGTTATTTAATTATAATTTTGTTGTAGATTGAAGCTATTGTGGGACAGCATGGATTGGTTGTTATCACCAGAGAGAATTGTAATCCTCTCAAGTTCATTTACAATTCCGATATTCTGACGAAATACATGGTAAAAATTGATTTAAATAATAATTTGCGTATTACCATAGTAATATTGAATTATTCTAGTCGAATATTACCATAGTGACGGAGTGGATAACAAACGAAGTGAGCTCGACGAAAATCCGACGGGCGTTGAGAAGATCAGAATCGGTTCGGTATTTGATGCCGGACAACGTGATCGATTATATAAAGAACAATGGTCTTTATGGTTCTAGCAACAAAAAGTAAGTATCCGGTTTTCTCTCTCTGGGAGTCTAGTTTCTCAATGAATGCGCAATTTTTGTTCATGCTCTTCCCCTGGATGCAGTAAGTACTTGTCGCCCCTGAATCCTCTCTATAATAACTCCAATTTCCTGACACCCTCTCCCACAGATGTCTCAATGGACAGTCCCAGTCCGACGTCCCGCTGTCTGAGTCTGTGCAACAATAATTTGTTTTCTCAGCCTGAGTCGATTGATGTGCCGGACATTGGTGTCGTAGGGAAAAACCAGCAGAATCTGTCGAAACATCCCGGTCAGGCCGTCAAAATTGTGACGGCGAACACCGGACGGCACACGATCATCCCCAACGGCGACAAGGTAAACAACCGCCAGCTGAAAGGTTCCACCAGTTGCGCGGATATTCAGAACACTGAACATCGCACCAAGTCTGTCGAGAGTTTAGAATGCAAGAGCTGCGACGAGAACATGATCAAGTTTATATTCACACAGCACGGTATCAAAGTAGTCAGCGACGTTGAAACTATAGTTTGAATAAGCACTCTAAACAATAATAACTAAAACAGTTGACAATCATTTCATCGATTTCTTCTATAGTTTACCTCACATTAAGTATAAACAACGGGCTTTTATTAGCACACATAATTATGTGCAGTTAAAGATCATTGCATTAAGTATGAATAACTTAAATTATTGTAGTAATTGAAATACCAGATCAGACATATGCATACTAAATTAAGTACTTTTGCAGATCAGTCGCCTGTATCACGAAAATCTGATACTAAAAACTTGGTTCGGTTCCCAAAAACCAACAGAAAATTTGTGGGGGTCGATAAACCCGAAAGGGGTAGAAAGAAATTTTATGATTTTGTGATTACTATGTTTATTTAAGTACCGAAACATTGATGCATGAACAATTCCAATTTTTTGGTAGTATTTTTTTTTTAATTTATCTTCAAGAAAATTGATTATTTCTTTAGTTGTTATTGTAGCTGATTTTTATCAATAATTTTCAATTATTTGTATCTCTAAAAATTGTCGTTAGCAAAAGTGTTGCTGCAACATAAATATATGTTTAAAAAAATCAACACAAAATTAATTTAGATCAGACATTAAATAAAATTTAAGATGACATCAAATCACAGTTCTTTGTTTGATGTATTGTGATTATTAGCTCTGCATAGGATAATTATTAGAACAAATATTTTTAATTTGCACAGTAATATGTAAATTTAACAGTATTCAATACTTTCCGTCGTAAATATTCCGTTGCAAATGTAAGATTTTTATTTATTTATTTATAATTAAAGCATTTTGCTAAAAAAATCAGTATTTTACCAATATGAAATCGGACTAATTTACTTAAAATTTGACGTTTTCAATTTTAACAAGAAAATAAACTTTGCTTTTTTGGGAAAGTTTAATATATGGGTTAATTAATTATTTTGCATTATTTATTTTTGAATAAGATGATCAACTTAAAGCTGTCTTTCCTAGAATTTGTTATTTTTTAAAGAGAAAATTCGAATTTTTTTATATAAAATTAGACATTTCGTAATTTTTAACAGAAAGTTTAATACGTTTCAAAAAAGTTTAACCTATATGATTGTATAGATTGAAGAGAACTGATTTACTTAAAATTGACGTTTTCAATAAAAAAAAACTACTTTTTTGGGAAAGTTTAACCCATATAATTCTAATAGAATATGTTATTTAATTGATTAACTATTTTGCAATATTTAGCTTGTAATAAGATTTGACATTTTGTAATTTTTAACAGAAAGTTTAATATTGAAGCGTAAAAAAGTTTAACCTATATGATTTGTATAGATTAAGAGAATGGTTATGAAATGAAGTATTCAAGCAGTATTTTACTAAAATTTATTATTTTTTTTAAATAAATTTGATATTTCCGTTGAAGTTTCACGTTTAGTAATTTTTAACAGAAAGTTTAATTACTCTTTAAGAAAAGTTTAAATTATATAACTATTGAATGAATATATTATTAACTATGATGAATGAACATAAACACAAACATTATTATTACAGTAGAAGTAAACAAAATGGTGTAATTAATGAAATATTTCTAGAATAAAGTAATATTTTATAAAATGTTATTATATGATAAGTAAACTAGTTTTATATTTCTCATAAGAGTTGTTAAATAATTCCTATTAAAAATAATAATAACAAAAAAATAGTTACTATTAATATAAATTTATAACATTTACAATACTCAATTGTTTACTATATTTTTATTTTTTAAATTAACACAATATTAATCTTCAAACTTCCTACAAAATATTCTTATAATTAGAACTGGATAATAACAAATTACAATATTGGAAAGCAACATAAGAAATGCTGAATATTTCATGGTTTAAGCAAAATTATGTACTTGATTTTATAAAAAAAACAAATAGAAAATAAAAATTGTTTAACAAGTTAATATTTTTTTTATGAATATAGATAATTCTTGTTTTTGGAAAAACTGAAGATTATTAATCTGGTTTGGCATGTGCAAAATATATTATTTTTTATAAAATGAAAATTTGAACTGTTTACTTAAATTATAGAAGATTAAACATACTTTCTTTTTGCAAGGATAACTTTTTTTTCTTCTTTTCTGGTTGATAAGATAACATTTTATCTACATAATATTTATGAATGCATGATATTGAAATTTCTTAAACCAATGTTGATTTAATATTTTGTTGAACTTCTACTTTCTCAAATACTATTTTAAAAACATGTTTCAAAATGCGAATATTACTGATTACTTGGTTAAATTATTGCGTTAATTGAGACGTTGAGACGTAATGTTTTATTTTTAATATCGTTTTTCGATTTTCAACGTTTTGGTAAATAAATTTGATAGTTAAAGATCTGCGTTTCTCAATCTTTTAGCAAGCGTATTTGTTTGTAATTGTTACGAGTATTTCACCAATTTCTCATTTTGACACATAGTTACAGTTTGGTTTGAGATCGATAGGTTGAGAAACGCTGATGCAGATGACAAAGTTAATAATTCTATAAAATCCTGCAGAAAAAATCTAACAAGAAACTTATTAAATTTTAAAAACAATTAAATTATTCAACTCTTACTTCACAATTTTGATTTAAAAAAAAAACTATTAAAACTTAACGAGTTAAAAATATTAAAAAAAAAATGAATATTAATAATTCCATTTTTAAAAATTACATATATAAGAAATATAATAGTTGTAGATCAGTAATTCTCAAAGACCCACAGGGGAGTCGCGTAAAATATTTGGTGAGTCTCAAAAAATTAATGACAAATCAATTGTGGTTGTTTTTCTACATTTACTCATTCTTCGGTGAGTCGCAGAAACTTTGTATGTCCAAAAGGGGATCGCAGAAACCAAAAAGTTTGAGAATTACTGATGTAGATGACAAAGTTAATAATTACAAGATATCTTGAAAACAAAACTAAATGTATACATACATGTTCTATCACAAATTATGTTAAAAGTAGTCTAAACAAGAACTTTATTACAACAAGAAATTTATTTCTCTAATATTTTGTTTGAAGAAATACAGCCAAAACTTATTTAAAACATATATATATATTTTTTTATATAAACTTGTTTTTGCTGCCAATTTGTAATACAATTGAAACTTTGAGATTGTATGCAATTTACCAAGAAAAGTAAACTAACAATAAACTGTTCCTATATGTATATATGTTTGTGAATTTTTACATGTTTATCTGTTTAATTTATGTATGTAAATTTTCTTAAGTGTTTGAGAGTGCTTTTTTTCCTTTGTATATTGAAGTAACGTCACATTTCTCTAAATTGCACTTGTTTGCATCGGTATAAAGATTTGTTAAATAATTTATAAAATTAATTAACATTTGTGTTAGCTCTTTGAAGTACCAGAAATTCGTAGACCCAAGTGGGGACAGACAAAAAAAAATTGTAAAATGCATTTGTAACAGAAAATTTAATGAATTCGCTGATTAGAAGGTGGTAATCCCTCTTTCCTGGGCATTTTCTTGAAAATTAAGATACAATTAAACCTCACCCCAAAGAGTTAATTAATGTATGTTTTTTTAAAGAACTTAAAGAAATGTGGCGCGAAAAGAATATTGAAATTTTATTGCTTGTGTATGTGGATTTATGCATGTGGAGAGGTGTTATTGTATGTTTTTTTTTATAAATTTGATGCATGATAAACGTTTTTGTTTCAGGCATTTGTAGATCAACCTGCATGTCTTCTATAGCTTATTGAATAATTGAAAAATAAACCACAAAACAAAAAGAACGAACTACAGTGTCTCTGGAGTTGATCACAAACGTAAATTTTTCCACTAATTAAGCTTCTAATTATCAGCCTGGGTACTATTGTTATAAAGGAAGGTCAAACGTTTGCACCAGTTTTTTTCTTTAAATTTCCGTACAACCAACCAATCTGGGAGCTCTCAATTTCGATGTTTTCTAATTTGCTTTCTCTAGGATTTTACTTAAGAAGTTGCTGTGATGTTTAGAGTTTATTTGATGTAAGACAGAAATCCTCGCTTTATTGATGACGGGGAAATTTTATATAATTATACAGTTATGTGTAAAAAAAAGACAGCTTTTTTTAAGGTAAAAAAATCTTTATATATACAGAAGAGAATAAAAAGTGAAATTATAAATTAAAATTGTAATTTATAGAATATATAAAAGAATTATAATCTCGAATAAATGATGATCTTTTCTTGTGCATTACTTCTTGTCCGAGCAATCGCACCACGGCGTCACGGCTTTATCACAAGTCAATTGGATATTGACTACAGTCACCGGAGTCGAATCCACTGTGAGGTTGTGCACGGCGAGGATCTTGTACTTGACGTCGTGCAAACCTGTGTGCCTATCCCGTTTCCTCGTGACTTCCCTTTGATTGAAACATTTAACGGTGTCTCTCTTCCTGTGGTTCTTATCGTGGATATGCTTGAAAGTATCATTCATTCCCGTCAAGATGTTTGTTGGTCTCGTGACATTCAGATGGGCGTCCCTCAGACGCACGTAAAACTCGTCGTCTTCCAAACCCCAGCCCCAATATTTATTCGACATACCATTCACCAATTGGAAATGTTCCCTAATAATTACACAAATTAAGACAGTTAATGTTAGATATACGTTATTCTCATTTACCTCTTAACCAATAAAATTCCTCCTACGAATTTGCTGTAGTGATATCTGGGATGCAGATGTGGGGCTGCCACATGGAAAGGCTGCTCTTTGGGATAATCATAGCTGAGGTTCTTATTGAGAGGTAGTAGATCGACGTCGTGCATAGCTACATAATCATAGTCAGCCTTGGTAAATAAATATCCTACATTGATTAAGGATGCTCTGTTGAACCTGTACCCATCGACCTGGTTCAAAATGAAAATATCATGGTTGATGTGTTGGTCGTTTAGGAAGTTGCTGATGTACGGAGCAAACACCAGCAGCTCTTCGAACCTATCCCTGAATGGCACCAGAACAGCCAACCTGTGAGGTTTATCGTAAACCACACCCTTTGAACTATCCCTGTTTAATACTATGTACTCTGTCCTTACATTTTGCTCTACAAATTGGAATTTAGTATTGAGTAATACATATATTATGCAAAGAAAGAAAAAATAACTCACCAAGTGAAAGCAGTCTGGAAGTCAGCACAACCACTGTTAAGAAAAGCACAGAGATCAGAGCTAGGAAAAAGAAGGTGTAATTAAAGCGAGACTCCCTCTTAATGACCATTTTAATGAATTTATCCAATTCATTTCTTTGGCAAATTGAATTTTGTGACTCCACATAACCTAACTAAGTGACATTGCTGAAACAACTTCCCAATAGTTGGTACAACTTTCCTTTATTTTTGTTTTTCTTGTTGCTTTTTTTATGGTGGGGGCTGTAAAATAATACAGGAATACCTCGTTTTGCGACCTATTTACAAATTATAAATTGAAATAATTAACGATAATTATTGTTTAATATGCTTTATTTTTATTGTTTAATATTTAAATTTATGAGAAATCATTAAACTATTCATAAATAAGTTTATTTTGAAGTAAATCGAGTAGTCTTTTTGTTTAAATAAATCTCTCTTAGAAGGTTCAGTTCAGTTCCTAAAGCGCTTTTAACACTAACTCAGGAATAATAATCTATTTGTTTTTCTACCTCATTCCTTCCAAATATCTTGTAAATTGATTTAATTTTTAACCTTCTAAATTGTTACAATTTTTTCCCCAAACTCCAAAACAAAATCTGAGAAATTTTACCCACTGATCCGAGTAACTTTTTAAATTATTATTTAATTTTATTTAGGGACGTATGAAGTAACGAACATATACACTGGTTTCTATGGAAATTTATTTATTATTTAAACTAAAATATTATATCTATTATTTTTGAAGGAACTAAAATACACAATAAATTTCAACTTAAATTTCAAAATCTAATTACTTATAAAGTAAGTATCTTTACAAAGTAAAGTTAATAACCGATTTTAGATTGCTTGGGAGTCATCAAATTCATTTTCTTTAATTAATTACAATTAATTTAAAGCGCACTTACACACTGATTCATTCTTGCTACACCATTTCGTTATTTTATTTAGTTATTATATATTTATTATTGAATATAAAAACTAGATTTACAGAAGAAGTCAATTTCATGTTTCGTTCGCACTTCACAATTATTAGTGAATATACTGAAAATACTTTTATAAAATATATAACATAAATGTCAATAATAATAAAATAATTTGTTTCAGTAAATCTAGTATTAAATAAACGTAGAAATCATAGAACAATTTAAATATCCTACATCATCCGCCAAATATGCATCATCAATTCCTTTCTAAGGTTGTCCAAGAGAAGTTAATAATTGTAATTTGTTATTTTTTATAGAATGTATGTTTTTTTATTACATAAAATTTAATTTTAAATTAAAGAATGCACATTTTTGTAATTTATCAATGTTGCTGTTTTTTTTATTGTCTTAAATTACTTCTTGGACAAAAAGACTTAATAAATAAATTACTTACGATTCTCTAACACAATATATACTAAATTACAATTAAAATTGGAGAAAGTTTATCAAATGTAACTAATTGCCTCAGCACAAACTAAAACAATTCAGGTTGTTAAATTTGTAATAAGATACAGTATTTTTTTTACTTAGAAATTGAAAGTGATTTTGCACATAAAGATGTTTTACCAATTACAACTAAAATCCGACGAGTGGAAAATTATTTTGTCGATACCCATAAGTTCTTCAATAGTACGTCAAAGATGAATTTAGGGAGGAATCTCTTTGATTTTGGATAACAGAGTGAAATCTTCTTCTTCCTTCCACTATTCTTCTCATTTAGCTTGTGTCGCGTACAATTTCGCCAATTTCCGCCGCGTGCTCAGTAGGAACTAAATGTAACATATAACATAGGGTAGTAATATAAACAATTTCCAAATCGGGACTCTGTGGTTCTGCACATTTGAACTAGGTTGAGTCTCTGAAATGAACAGAATGAAATGCTACAGTCTATTAGAACGATTCTGTCAATTGGAATAATGTTCCAGAAAAAGTCTTATTGATTTAAATAGTAAAATTTCGTTTAATTCAAATGCGTTTAAACTATTGTCGGAAGATGGTATAGCTGTTTTTAAAATAACGAAAATTCGAACTATTGTTTGAAAATTTTAATTCTCAGAAATTATATATTAAATTTATTTCATATTTGTCATTATTAAGTAACACTGTATATGTTTGTTGTTGTTTTTTTTAAGTATTAAATCTTTATTAAGTCAAACGCAAACTTTATTGTCAAACTCCCTATTGCATAGAAAAGTTTTAATTAAAAAAATTACTGGATTACTCAAAATATTTAATGTTCATCCGTAATCAAAAATTGCGCTAAATTTTATTACACGTTTAGAATTATGAATTTTCTTATTAAAACGTGATATTAAAACTGTTTCTGAGTTTAACTATGTAATAAATTACCTTAACAATTAGCTTTTACATTAATCAATTTACAAAATTTAAAACATATTGTGTATTTTCTTTTATTTACCTTTTGCGAGGTGAAATTCATAATTTCACTTGTCCAAAAATCATTACCAATGGAAAAAAACTGCTGTATTAGTTCCAGGGCAGCACAACGTAAATTAAACAAGAATAACTAAATTTTCATATGGAATGTGTTTATTTTTGAAATGGTTAAATATTTCCACCCATCTTTTATCAATTTAAAAATGTAGATTTTCCCATTGTTCTAATTTATCATAATTTAAATATAGAAGACTATAGAAGACAATTGTCATCGATTTTAATAACAGGCATTTCTTTTGAAAATATCGAAAAGCAGGACACTTTTCGAGGATGGACAGATCCTACAAAAAAAGGACCGTCCTTCCTAGGAGGACGGTTGGTCACAATAATATTATAATAAAGATTACAAAGGGCTATTGGATATTTTTTGAAGGAAAGGTATAAATTTTAAATCTTTGCAATGTTGCCTATAGTGACTCTAATATCAGGCATTTCTTTCGAAAATATCGAATTTTTTTAAATTTTGAAATGAAGATCTAACTTTAAAATCTTTGCAATGTTGCCTATAGTGATTCTAAGAACTTTAAGTCACCATTAGTTAACAAATAAATAATTAAGAATGACAGATATACGTTTTTGTCAATATTTCATAAAAAGGTGTAATCGGATTTGTTAATAATGGATTTTTATTGATTGCATTTTCATCAGGTTTCACAAGGTTGCACATAGTAATGTTGCGCAACGTTGTCAAATAGGTGTCATCGTCTGCGACTAGGATCGTTTTAATAGCGAAAACTGTTTAAAACAATTAATCTGTTTTAACAATTCATTATGAGAAGAGAAATAATGATTTTTCTTGTTTAGTTATTTTTGGAAATACGGAATTTCTCATCAAATATTTTGTGGAAATATAGTTGCATAAGGTTGGCAGCACGTACCGTCATTGGTGCGCAGGCGTCGTGCGTTTTTCGCGGTAATAGGCAAGTTGAGCCCATCGTGTGCGAGTATAAAACATGTCTATGAGTTTTAATAAAGTTGTGTATTCAAACAAATGCGAAGCGTTGAGCATACGTGGGAAAGAATATTTGAGAAACTGTTTACCGTCTTGATCGAGTGTTAAATTAGCCGTTTGTTTAGTAAATATATAAATTCTCGAAAGCGAGGCCAGTTATCATACCGACTGCTACCAGCCAAGACGAAATCATGCCGAAGGGTGGAAGACAAGGAAAATTAGGTAAGCGAATATCGTTCTTATGTGAACCGCGCAGAAGGTCGTAGTGTTGAAAAAGTATGAGAAGGAAAAAAATAGGTATAGTCACTTTTGACAGCCCACAGCGTGGGGCCCATATGGAAACTCAGGTCTCAGTGCACATGCCTGCAATACTCCAGAGACCTAGGTTTTTAAGGTACGACATGTGCTTGACACATGTCACCTGTCTGCGGAGCCACCAAACGTGATCCAAAAATAAGTGCGTACAAAAATGGAAGGAAGCGAATGTGGAATATATTAATTGCACAGCTCTGCAATCTTGTGCAACAGACACATTCGCTTTATGTAATCCAGCATGACGATTTCAACGCCAAGAATTTATTTTTTTATACGCAGTGATTTTTTATTGTTGTTGTCGATGAAACAAACAAAAAAAGGAGCAAAAGACTCGATTAAACTCCCGAATTGGGTGCTGTGACAAAGCAGGAGTGCATTTTAAAGATGGGATAATACCGTAGCTATTTAAAGAATGCGCCTGCCTGACACGCGTGTGATTCATGTTTGCACAAACACACGAGATTAGAATGTTCTTGAAATATTTACATCAGAAAAATTTCACGTAACTTTTTTTTTACGTTTGTTTTCGTTTCCAATCGTATACAAAAACATTGCTGACCTTCGGGCTCAATTATTAACTAAATATAGAGGTCGTATTTTTAGTGTGTGTGTGTGTGTTCGAGTACTCGTGCTGAGACGGATAAATTGATATATGGCATGGAGAGATGGACAAGGACCTTTACGAAATACACCTTTCCTCCGATTTACACTTTTTGATTATAAAGTCGTGGAGATCTAAAAGTTTTCAATGAATTACGCGGTAAAAATAACTTTAAATAAGTTTAAAATCTGTAAAATTATAAAGAAACAAATAATAATTCTGACGGTAATCTAGTAAGTATTTTTTAACGAAAGTATAGCCAGTAGTTCTCGCGAATGTTTTGATGTTATATGAAAAAAAAGACCAGTAAAACCTTTATCCACAGGTGATAAAATAAGTTTTTCAGAAAGTATTGAATAATAGTAAAAGACACAAATAAATATGCAGCAAAGAAAGTAGTTTTCAGTATTTCTTGAATTATTTACTAATGAAACATTTATTATTAACTAAAGGAACTGTACGAAAGGTACATAAATCAAACAAAAAAATTGTTCATAACCAGTTTATTTTCAACATTTATTTATTTTTTAAACCGTGTAAAGAAAGTACCATGTAAAACGAAAGATATGTTATTTTCCACATTTATTTTCTTTTTAAAGCGTGTAAAACGAGGGATAGGTGTATTCATATAAATCAGGAAGGATCGTGTAGAGAGAATTACCATAAATAAAACTTGTTTTTTTGTTTATTTCTATTTAAAAGCCTCTAAATATTTTGGTTCGCTTTGTATATTTTAGATAAACCTTGTTGTCATAATCATTAGCACGTGTTTTCTGATCACACGATAAATTATCGATAATTACGTTTCGACGAGGACCGAAATATTCAACCGTTTTGCGATTCATGTTATCGTTCGTTTTCCAATGTCACGATAATCTCGTTTGTGAAGAGTCTTTACGTTTCTAATTACAAACAGTAACGCTTATTTTTATTGTTGTTATTCCATAATTGGACAATTTATACTGTTATTAAGTAATTGCATAATAATTGGGTATTTTCTTGAATAATATATGTTGACTGAATAACGTTTTAACTAGAACAACAATATTTATTCGCATTTTACTAGATATTATTAAATATAATTTAATGATATTTTGATTCATTATATTCAATGTTTATTTTAAGAATTAAAAATTGTTTGAATTATTTATAGATTGAATACTTATATAATGAATAAGCAAAATTTTCACTTGCATGTCTAATGAAGACTATGATGAATCAATTGAAACAAATTCATGGTGATATTTATTATTAATATGCGCGACATCAATGACAATTGTTCACGTTAGATAAAGCTTGCATGCTTATAAGATATTACATACATTCATAAACAAAATAAGATGCAGATTAATCGTTAGACATAACAAATAGATTGTGATTTTATGGCATGTTTACAGTATTGTGAAGATATTTGTAAATTTTATAATTACTTTTAACGAGCGACGCTTAACGAGCGACGTTTCGCATAACGAGTGACGATGAGAAGAGAAGTCCCGGATTGCGCGCCTGCTAAAATCATTTTTAAAACTTGTGTACACATATTATGTGTATTTTTGCATATGTTTCACTATACGAGTATTACACTACGAGTAAAAATTCGAAAATTTTAGAACGGATTAAACTTGTTAAGCGAGGTTCCACTGTATTTGTTTCAAAATAAGTATTTTAATCTCCTAACCTTGAACTTACCTGAACATAGTGTATTTCCAATTGCAAAACAAATCATTTTTGTATACAATACAAGATTACATTAAAGTACCATCAAGTATTTAGGTCTGTTTCAAGTCTCTTTATAATTTAAATTATAAATTTAAAAGATTATAAATTTAAATGTTTTGCTGATTATATTTTAAACAATAACATTATTCAATCATTTACAATGTTATCTCACAATTAGCATTAATTATTTTTAACTGTCATGTAAATTATTTTGACTAGACAAAACTTATTCCATTATTTTTTATTGTTGTCAATTTTTTTTAGTAATTACGTATTTTCTAGAATTAATTGTATATATTACAATTTTTAGTAAATTTATTAATTTATTAAAGAATTAGTATCATTGATGATTATTTTTTCCACTGAGTCACGTTTATTTGTACAATTTATTTACCATATAAACAGACAATTCATGATCACAGTATGTCGTTACATAAATCTATTATTGTGTAACACACTGGTAATAACGTTATTTTTTACCAGATTACAACGATTATCAATACTTTTTTTTTATATTTGTATGTTTACTCGAACCAAATTTACTTTTGATCATTTAGAACAGATATAGAACGATTACAAATGAAATCTAAACCTCACAATTTATTTTCAACGAAATTAATATGTTATTACTTATAATATATTTACTTTATTTTTTTGCATTTATATATTATGTATTAATTTTGGTATTAACAGAATTTTCATTCAAAACAATATCTCTTTAATGGTTTCATGTTGAGTGAATGAATATTCCTATAATGAATATACGAAGCCAAAAAAAAGTTTCATATTTATGTAAGGTTTCTTCTAGTAGTCTTTGATTTTTGTTTGTTTTTGTAACTTAGTGATATTTTCCTATGACATCATAAATGAATATATTTGCATTTGTTTTGTACTAGTTTCTTTATTTTTTAAGTAAAATTATTTCAAGCAACGAAAACGTCGATGTTTGTATTGGTAATTAGATTAAAAATGGAAACTATTTGTCAAACTCAAACAAAACAATCCAGAAGGTCAATGACCTATGACTTCCTGTTTCAAAACAAAAATACGCAAATGTTTATCAATAAATAAAATTGTGCGCAGTATTTGCATTAGGTTTATCGTTTAATTGATCATAAACCACAATATTTGTCCTTCGAGTCTTGAGTATATATATTTTATTCTAGTCAAACATTTCTATTATATTTCATTTAGTTTGTCAAAAGGTCAACTACCCTTAGATAGTTATGATCATAGAAACAATGTTTTCACACGTAACTTCAGTTCTATAAATAGAAAGTAATCTTGTATTTTGTTTATGCGTTTTTAGAAACTTTTATAATATTCGTTTATAGTCTTTAAAACAACTACCCTCCATTGGGTAGTTAACATCAAAGAAACATTTTTTTCATACGTAACTTATCAGTTCTATAAATACAGGAAGTAATCTACGGGGGTTGCGGACCAAAAAGTTTGAGAATCATTGGTTAAGATCATAGAAACATTTTTTTCACACGTAACTTGTCAGTTCTATAAATACAGGAAGTAACCGTGTATTTTGTTTATAATATTTCTTCATAGTTTTTCGAACACATCCGTTTGTTTATTTGGTTTTTTGAAAAATCATTTTTTTTTTTATTGCGGTTTTGAATATCGTTCGAAGAACACATTTGCGTTATTTGGTGTTCATTTCGCGGAGAAAGTAAAAGCAATAGCAATAACCACATGATTTCTCAAGATGAAAAAAAAATACCTTTTGCTTTCCCTATCTATGGTGGTACAAGCATTTGTAAAATATTGAACTTCCGTTTCAATAATCAAAATACCTTTGAGTCTCAGATGTTTCTTATATAAGTTATTATCAGTTATTCAGTAAAAAAAATATTTTCGTTGTTGAAAATTTAACAAAAATTAAAGTCTTTTAAAAATATCTAAATTTGATTAAGATTAAATGGATTTTTAAAAATAAATTGATCTCTTGTTGCTAACAAGATTTTGCCACATTATCATTCGTGATTAGATAATGTTCAAATTCTGCTTTATTTAGCGAATCTATTAAATATTCCATTGATTGAAATGTGAAATTCTCTTCAGAAAATTAAATACTTTATAGAATTTGGTAGATGCATGTCTTATTATTGTTAACTAATTTAGAATGTATGATGGATAAGCTTTTAAAGAAATTAACTTGTTGACTGACTATATGCTGTATCTGTTCTTTTATTGTATTTAAATGTTCCGAGTTAGAGAATACAATAATGCGCACTACTTTCTCATTAACAGATTGCAGATTGGATACGTGCCGTATTAGTTGTAGCTCCTTTTTATAATACCGGATTTTGTCATAATGTTACGAATGTAATGTTTATTATTTGAGAATGCAGTGTAATTGCTTGCCAGATCCGTTTAAGGTCACCTCCAATCTCTTCGCGGTGAAATGCATTCACTTTCACATCGCCCGAATAACTGTAAATTGTAAATTTTTAATAATTTTTTATTATATTTGTGAACCTTCCCTTCATGAAGGGTATTAAATAATGTATATTAGATAAGATCATTATTGTTTTTTTTTTAATTTAAAACTTTAAAGATTACTACAGTGCGTATATTGGATTTAGGTAGTCCTAAAATTGAAATAAAATGACCCACTTTTGACTTGCTTGGTGCTTCCCTTGGTTATAAAAGATCTCTTTTTTTAAATCTGTCCCTTTGTAGTATATTATGCAATGAGCTCATCTCATAGGATCAGTTACCGACCTTTTCAATAAGAAATCGATATAATAAAGCACTTGTCATGTGAGTGATAGGTATTTTATGACCTTCAAGCGCCGTTTTATAACAGCAGTTCGAGATTAACTTTATGAACGGTGCCAAAACGAGTTGCCGTTGAAATATAATGTTTCATTGTAACATATCTTTGCACCTCGCTACAATTGCAATTATATAATTTGATGATTAATTATAATCATTTGTACTTTGTATGTGCGATTTAATGTTTAGTAGAAATTTAGAGTTTTTTAAGTTAAAAAGAAAAGTTAAATTTTTAAATTAAACTTATTTTAAATACAGTCGATTCCGCTTAAGTCCAATTATCTGAAATTCCACAAAAATTGCAGTTTTTCAGAAATACGGGAGTTTAGGGGATGGTAGTTGGTGACTTCAAAAAATGATGTGCGTGGTATTGCTGTCCACGAGCATTTTAAAATTGATTCGTCGACTCCTGATGTTACTGCATTTATAACTTTTTAATTACTCATTATTTGTTGAAGTTGATGGAAATTATATTTTATTTTTTTGTATTTTTATTTGCAGATCGGATTCGATATAAAACACGGTCCAGACGTACATCAGACGATGAGTCGTGTAATGATAACGCGAGCGAATTCAGCAATGACTCGGAGGTTAGGAGCACAGAGATTGGTGAACCCGATGTCGTGGAAGATATTGCACAGCAAGAAGCTTTCGAAGATAAACTGATGGAAGCTATGGAAGGACTCATGCAGAAGTCTGCTGCCGGACGCACCTCCTGTCATGAGGCCATCAATAAGGCTTTTATCAAGAAGTACATCCCGGATTTCGTGCAAGATCGTTATTTGACCATCTGCGATGGTATCGAGAAGGGTCTGAAGAAAGGAAAAGGTGCTGAGCAGGCAGCGGCCGCTCAACAGGCACCTTTACTTTGCGTCCAGTTGGGTAGTGGAGCTGCCAGCGAAGAGGTGTGCCGCATACTGAAACCCATCCTTCTCATCTCCACCAACGATAATTCTGTGCCACCTTTGTCCAGAGCCAAGTGTTGCACGGCTCTGGGACTTATGATCTTTCTTGCCGGCGAAGATATGGCCGAGGTGATCCAAATGATGCAGGTCTTCGAGAACATCTTCTCGGGCAGCTATCTCAAAGGCGATGGAAGCGTTCCTAATGTTACCGTAGAAGTAGGTACATTGCATGCAGCAGCTATTAGCTCCTGGACATTGCTGTTCACACTCATGTCTTCAAATGATGCCTACAATATGCTCACAATGGAAACATCTTTCTCGCCATCTATTTTACAACTATCCCAATTGCTGACCTCACCAAATCTCGAGGTCCGTATTTCCGCCGGCGAAGCATTGGCGATCGTCTTTGAATTGGGCCGTATCTGTGAGGATGACTTTGCTGAAAATTATATTACCGATTTGGTGGACACCTTCAAAGAGTTGGCAACCGATTCACATAAATACAGGGCCAAGAAGGATAGGAAACAACAGAGGGCTACCTTCCGCGATATATTAAATTATATAGAAGTAAGTAAACATTTCATTACACTCTTTCGATCTGTCAATATTTTAAAGAAAAAACTAAAAAATCTAAGGTTTTAAGACCATTTTTTTCTATTTATTAATGTTTAACATTGTTACAGAATGATGAAATGCCGGACTATAAGGTCAAATTTGCGACGGAGCAGCTCGACATCAACAGTTGGACTGCAAGAAAGCAGTACGACTCGTTCTGCACGATGCTCGGTTCCGGAATGAACATCCATCTCACCGAAAATGATCTGCTGAGACAGATCTTCGAGCTGGGTCAGCGCCCCCAATTGATCGAAAGCATCGCCGATTCCAAAAAAACTAAACAAGTCAAGGTAAGTCAAGATTTGAAAAGGTGAATCACCACGTCAGTTCACTAAAATAATTTCTTTTTCCTGTTTGCAGCACCAGCAAAACATGGCAAACTTCAAGGCGAGGACTATATCCAGAGGCAAGAACAGGGACAAACGTTCGGATTTCTGATGTCAACTTTTATTTTTATTTAAATTTTTATCTTAATTTCAATTATCCGTCGCACTTACATTTTGTTTTTCCCCTCCCCCCTCTTTAACTTTATTGTATTTCCCCTTGTGTTTATATCACATTTACTTTGCTTCTTATTACAATCTTGTTTTATTTTTATTATTTTATTACGTGTACATAATATTATTTATAATAATATATGTAATATAAAATATATTTGTGATTAGCAACTTGCGAGGGAGAATTCTTTTGGAAAAGTGATTTATTCAAATGAAGGATTATTTGTTTTGTGTTTCTTCGTTAATATTTAATATAAAATTCAATTTTATAATTAACGTAGCGAAAAATGTTTAAGCATATGTTATGTTGTTTTATGTTTATTTGTTGTTTTCTCTCTCTACATTTTAGATTAGTTTTAAGTTTAGATTGAATTCTCTTAGTGATTTTTGTTTCCTTCTTCAAAATTTTATTCGTTTGTATAAGAGAGAGTATGCAGTATTTAGATTTATAGTTTATTTCTTATTACAATAAAATATAATAATATATATAAAAAATGTTATTGTTTACAAAATTATTATGTATACCTTACATCTTATGAAATAATAAATATATGTATAATAGAGTAAGAATAAATGGAAAGGACGTATTTATAATATTTACAACAGGTCTAGATTTCGTTTAGCGCCTCTACGTAGTAGTAATAATGGTAGCAGCACTCATTCGTGCTCTTCTCTTCAGTACAGCATGATGGCCCCATTCGTTTTCTCCTCCATCATTGGTATGATCGGATCCACTTTCTTGTCGCTGTTCGCGATGTGGATAACGATTATGTCTAGGAAATTGGCGACTGCCGCTCCCACGACGAACCTGCAAACAGTCATTCAGATTTAGATCGATGGTCCCTTTGGGGATCTGTTGTTGCGGCGGTATAGTTACCAGAAGGAGTAACCCAGTTCCGCCATTCCATCGGACGTCCAACTGTTGTCCCTGTCCTCCAACGACAGCACGTTGGATTGGATTTTAAGATAATACTGGGCCATCCATAGACCGATAGCTCCAATATTGCAAAGCACTGCAAGAAAAAAGATAGAAGTTATAAGTTTGGATCTTTTTATCATAGTGATATATCTATCATAAATGTACTTTTAGATCAGAATTCGTTATATGTGAAGTACTTTTACTCGCCTATATTTTTAATTAAATTAATTAATATTTTTTTCTACCTGGGGTGACTCGCCCATAAAAGCCGTAAGGGACCAGGACTCACCTATACTTCTATAACTAGTCTACCTAACAAAACTAAACATACTTAAAAAAAATTGTTTTTACCCCCTGACCCCACCTGTTCCTATTAAGAAACGCCTCTACGTCTCCGATAAAATTTATAAACAATTAACTGCATTAATTTGGATTTGATATTAATAAAAGGGTAAAACTATAATATAAGAAATTTCATTATTTAGAGTATTCAGACAATAATTAGCAGCAAGTGCTACTTACACTAACAAAGACAAGTATATTTAAATTACTACAAACAACTTGAAACAATTAATGAAATATTGTGCTATGTAGTGTTATTGCTACGGCCCTTTCCCTTTGGATGTTTATCGACCTTTCATATCAAATTTGATAATGACAGCTGTCATCTTGTGTCAAAGCGACGAACTGGTGAAATACTCTCAGTAATTGCGTGTCTGTACAACTAGAATTATGTTTAGTCATTTAACAAAAATGTTAAGAAACGCTGATTTAATCTATCGCAATAATCATTAGATAAAATACTCAACTGACTTTCCAATTTCGGTATGTCCCACATTTTTTTCATGTTTGTTCAAAATAGTGCGAGATTTGTGCATATCATGGGATTTAGAGACGGTATTTCTTTATTTTTAATAAAAAGTTTAAACCAGTATTTCTCAACCTATGGTAACCCAAAATTTGAAGTAGTCACTTTGTTAATTTTTTTCTGATGCTACAGTCTTGTACCAATCAGAAGACTTTAGTAAGATTTTATTATTATATATTTTTATTTACCTTTAATTTTCAAGACAAAGTTATCTACAACTAAAAGTTGAAATTAATTGATGAATGTATTTAATTTCATATCTATTTTTAATACGAAACTTTGGATATTCGATTTCCATTTATTTATACAAATGACTTTAATAGTCAGATTTTCACTTTTAAAACTTACTAGTCGGACTTACTAGACATTTCAATTTCAATGTATTCATTTAGTAATTAATATAGATTTTTAAATATTTAAAACAAAAACTTGTTATTAACATCGATTATTTTTAATTTTATTTTAATAAAAAACAATAAAATTGAGTTGTTTATAAATTACAAATTAACAAATGATAAATGCAATATGCACATTTGATTATAAATAATTCGTATTAAATGAGATTTTGATTGTTGAATGATTAGAAATTGATAATACTCAATTTGTGATTTGTCTATTTATGTGAGACGTGCAATGGTTTTTGTTTTTGCAAATGCGGAAATCTCTCGTCGGATTGCGGAAATAAACGCTCGATCTTCAGAAAGTAATAGCTGTTGCAAAATTATCAGAGATACAGAAGGTTGCGAATCGTTAATATGCAATTACCATAATCTATTGCTTATTATACAATCAAAGAAAAAGTTACTCCGTTGTTGGTAAATTGATAAATTGAATAATACATTGCAATAAACATGAATTGTAGGAAGTACTTTCGTTATTTAAAGTTTGTATACAAAAAAAAACTATGAAAAAACACAATGTGAAAGAGAATCGGAAATTTTATAAACTTCAGTAAAAATATTATTTTTATATTGTAAATATGTAGAACTATATACTTGTTATGGTAAAATTCGGGTTAAAATTGCAAATATTTCCGAAGTACAAATCTTCGAATGAGTAGAAAAAAAAAAAAAGAAAAGTTGTAAATTACTTTAAAAATCACATTTGAATATATATTTCACAAATTTAAAAATTTTGTCTAGAACTTATTTCTACTTGAATCATGTAGATTAGTGGTTTCCAAACTTCCTCGCTTAATTTTTTTTAATCCCCTACGTCCCCCTTCCATTGCATAAAATAGATAAAACTTTAGCAGTCATTTTGAAAATTGCTCACTGTGTGCGCCTCGCAGTTTGGAAAACGCTGATGTAGATCATGTATATAATAAAACCTCGGTTCTCGAACACAAAAACTTTGATTCTAAACAAAGTGTAGGTTTTCCATCATAATTTGTATGTGTCTTCATTGCTTTTGTACAAAATGTATCCAGTTTTTCAAACAACTTTTAGGAACAAAATATGTTCAATTATGTTGAAATTTATGAATTATTTAAATTGAAGCTTACGCATTTCAAGAATTCTTTCGATGCATTTAAATATTCTCACTGAGTTATGTCTGAATATGTATTAATTTTATTTATGATACTCAGCCTTGGTCCCAATATTTATGCATGCATTTTACACGTTTTTTTTTCTCTCATGCAATATTGACTTTTAGTATTTATCCACCGAAGCGTAGAGAAATATGTAACAAAAAAAAATCAATGTTAAATAGTGTATTTTATCGTTTATCTATATAATTAACACGGAAAATGTGGATGAATTACGTAAAGTTCCTATTCCTATTCCTATTTTCGAATTGTTTAACAACAGTTAAACCATTATCGCAATTGGGTACGTGTGTATATTTTTTATGATTGATTAAATTCTAATCGAGAAACAATGTTAATGTTAACTGTTGGATTATGATTGAAATATCTACATCATAAAACACAAAGTAGAGATGCCATTTTTTTTCATATTATAATTTAATCGTATGTTATTATTTAATGAAGTATATATATGACTTTAGACAATTAATAATACTTTATTATTTTATATAATTCAATTAATAATAGGAGTTTAAATAATAATTTTGATAGTAGTAATATGATTGCAGGGCCGAAGCAAGGAAATCTTCCGTTTAAGCCATTAATGACAAGCGTGTCTGTGGTGACACAAATTGTAATTTATGTTCATCATAAATGAAAAACTATTGGAAATCAATCCTCTCTCATCATCATCCAAGTGACACAGCATCCGAGTAAAGCTACGTTTTTACGAATATTGACACGCCGATTCCAAAAGGTTTGGCAATATCCAATTTGCGCTCCTGCCTCAAGAAATCATTGGCGCCCCTACGATTGATTCGCCTGGAGACACTGGGTATGCGCCCCCTTTGCACCCCTAGCTGCGGCTTTGTATGAATTAGTACTACTTTGCTTTAAACTAGCGGTTCTCAAACTATGGGTTGCGATACATTTTTAATGAGTCACGAATTGACAGCTGTCATCCTACGTCAAAAACGTACGCACCAACGTTGAAAAATAATGTATTTTTTAAATATAAATATTTTATAAATGCAAATAAATATAAAAATAAAATGAATGAAACTTATATAGGTCGAATATATTGTATTGCTGGATATATTTTAAGACACTTTGAAAATATTATTGATTTTGTTGTAATTACTTTCTTAAATAATTAATCAATATATATTTTTTTCTATATGTGTATTTTTCATTAATATTTAATTAAAATATCTTTGGATAATTAATTGTGTACTGCCATGTGTAGTCTAGGATCTGTAGACATGAGTATTTATTGAGTTTTAAGTAATTGTTATGTTAAGATAAGTGAAGTGGACCACTTTGTAATCTAAGTTATAATTAATGCCTTCTCCTGACTAGTTACAAATAAAAAGACATATAGACCTGCTGACTTCTGACTTTTTCAATTGTCTTTCTCACTAGTTATAAGTAAAGTGACAAGTAAACCTAGCCGACCCAAGCATACTTAAGAAATTTTGCGCCTGTTGAATCTGTTGACGTGTGTTTTAAGTAAGTGTTATGTTAAGATAAGTGAAGTTAAGATAGTTATAAGTAAAGTAATAAGTAGGGAGGAAGTGAGGAATGGTGTGACTTAAAAATATTTATATAACTGTATTTTAGTCACAATTAACGCAGTTGTTGGTTACATATGAATCATTAATGGTCTATTGACTTGTGACAATTACAAATTCTCCTCTTGACTAGTTACAAGTAAAGTAATATGTTAAACCTATTGATTTGTGATTTTTTTCAAATGTTTTTTTACTAGTTATAAGTAAAGTAATAAGTAGGGAGGAAGTGATGAATGGTGTGACTTAAATATATATATATAAAAAACTGTACTTTTAGACACAATTAACGCAGTTGTTGGTTACATATGAATCATTAAAGGTCTATTGACTTGTGACAATTACAAATTCTCCTCTTGACTAGTTACAAGTAAAGTAACATGTTAAATCTATTGATTTGTGTTTTTTTTTTCAATGTTTTTTTACTAGTTATAAGTAAAGTAATAAGTAGGGAGGAAGTGAGGAATGGTGTGACTTAAAAATATATATATAAAACTGTACTTTTAGTCACAATTAACGCAGTTGTTGGTTACATATGAATCATTAAAGGTCTATTGACTTGTGACAATTACAAATTCTCCTCTTGACTAGTTACAAGTAAAGTAACATGTTCAATATATTGATTTGTGTTTTTTTTTTCAAATGTTTTTTTTACTAGTTATAAGTAAAGTAATAAGTAGGAAGGAAGTGAGGAATGGTGTGTCTTAAAAATATATATATATAAAACTGTGCTTTTAGACACAATTAACGCAGTTGTTGGTTACATATGAATCATATGTCTATTGACTTGAGACAATTACAAATTCTCCTCTTGACTAAGTAAAGTAACTCTTAGAAGTAAAGTAACATTTAAACATGATTTTTTTCAAATGTTTTTTACTAGTTATAAGTAGGGAGGAAGTGAGGAATGGTTTGAAACATGAATGATTAAAGATTAAATATAAAATAACAAGTAAAGTATCATATTAATACAATCTTGTACTTTCCTGTATTCCTTAACCGTTCGATATTAACAATTGATTATATATAATAAAGAACGTTCAATATAAAAATAAGTATTAAAAACCATATACATATTGTTTAGTAATAGTAATGTGTATTACTTATTTGTTTTTTCGGTACTTACATGAAAGGATATTCCAAAGATACAATCCTGCAGTTCCCGAGAAACAGCTCGACGTTGTTGCAGCATTAACGGCCGCAAAAACTGCGGCCAAATCGGAGAAGAGCAGAGCCGCACAAACGCACGTCACCGTGCCTATCCAGAAGCCGTAGATCAGGAAATCCGGCTCGTATTTGAGCAGATGCAGTACTGTAATAAAATGCAATTATAAATGAATAATAATTACTTGTAATTTACAATGAAAATCATGTATATTCCTTTATTCTTTTATAATATTTCACTGAATTTATTATTACCGTATTCATAATAATATGAAGAAGCATTGAGTCACGAACAATTTAAATGTAAGTTTAGAATATACTTCGCTTCATGAACAAAAATACAAAAGAAATAAACGGTTTCGGTTTTCGAATATAATTTCGGTTCCCAATAATTTATTTCATTAATGTAATTTTATTGTTTTTGCAAGATAATTTTGTAGACTTTAATTATTTGTATAGACAATACTTTTTATAAGGAACATGGTTTCGATTCTCGAACAGAATTTGGGAACGAATTATAATAATTCTTACATTTTTCATTTGACTTTTATTATGAAGTTATTAAAATTTATGTAATAATATTTTCTAAGATATTATAAGAAACATTGCATTACTATTTAAATTGTATGATAATGTATACGCTTTATTGAATTCATATGTTGATCACATTTTAAAAAGTTTCCATTATGTATTTGACCAGTTTTGTGTTTATAACAATTACATAAGTTGCTGTATAAGCGGATGATATGTAAATTGAAAAAGAAATATAAAATTAATAATATGGTAGAATAAAAACAAACAAATAAGACTGTGGCTCCATCTGCATTTGAAATTTACATAAGTAAGTTTGATATATATGGATATACTTTTAATTTATAAATGTAATTCATGATTACAAAACTCAGTGGTAGTTTGATATTATAAATATAGTAAAATTATTATCTTTTTTTTAATAGTTAATGAGAAGAAGTGAGAAAATATGTAAAACGTTAATTGCAGTTGCTTTCTAAAGTTCATGCATGTTAATTTGTAATGTTTACATTAGCTTGAGAATTATTATTGTAAATAATAATGAAAATTTTCAAAAAAATATCAATTAATAATACAAATATTAGGAATTACCCTAAATATGCTGAACAGGTTTAAATATCATTTTAAATAGTGAATTAGTCTTGGAAAGTGGTAAATGCTCATAAAAAACAGGTTGTTCTTTCCTCGAAAAAGTCGAACGATTTAATGTAGTGTGCAGAATGTAGTCAAGGTCATTGTTAATGTTGCCAAAACGAGTCTATTTAAGAAAAACTGTAGCATAGAATAACATTAACAGATCTCGAGAAAAAACATCTTCTAGGATTTAAAGCGGAAAATTGTAATCAATTATAATTTATCTCGTATAAATAAATTGTAAGGTTCTGAGTTAATAATCGATCACTACTGATTAAAGTAAGATCATATATTGATTGTATTGTAAATTTGAGGTATTTCTGTATCAATTTTAATTATTTTATATACTAAAGTTCGAAAACAGAATTATTCAAAAACCGTAACCATTTTCTCCATAACAATTAATTAAAATGGATATAATCCGGTCTTCGAACATAATTCGTTCCTAAAGTTCGAAAACTGAATTATTTTAATGCCAAAACCATTTTATCCATAATAATTAATTTAAATAAACTTAATCCTGTGTTTGGGCATAATTAGTTTCTTAAATTCGAAATCAGAATTATTCGAAAACCAAATTCATTTTCTCTATAACAGTGAATTAGAATAAATATACTTCGGTTTTCAAATATAATTTGTTCCTAAAGTTCGAAAATTGAGTTATTTGAATGCCAAAACCATTTTATCCATAATATTTAATTTAAATAAACATGATCTTGTGTTTGGGCATAATTAGTTTCTAAAGTTCAAAAACCGAATTATTCGAAAACTGAATTATTTAAATGACATTTTCGTTGCTAAAGATCAGAAACCGAATTATTCGAAGAGCGAAACAATTTTCTCAATAAAAATAAATTTAAATGAATATAATCCAGTTTTCAAACATAATTCGTTACAAAAGTTCTAAAATCGAAAATATGTCCTTTCTTAAGTTTGAAACCCGAATTACTCGAAGACCAAAACAATTTTCTCCATTTAATTAAAATAGCCTTTCTTAATAATAACTCATCATAAGATTGTAAACAAAAACAATGAAAATGTGTAAAAACTTAAACAGTACAATAATGATAATAACATAGATTAAATATAGACAAAAATGTAACTTCACTTTATCTGTACTGAGAAGTGAGAGAGATACAAATTAATATTTAGAGACCGATGTATTATTTTTGTTAATTCTTGAACTGAGACGTTCGAAAACCGAGTACACAAAAACACTTGCTTCTATTGTAAGCAATGCACACGAATCCTGTTATTCAAGTCGAATGACACGTAAACCTTGTGCAACAATGTGTTAATAGGTGCATTGACAAATACCGTGGAAACGGTTGTAAAACATCCCAATTAATTAACTGTTAAACATCTGCAACGAAGCCGTTCGTAAATGAACAAAGACCCGCACCCAACTGACCTTTTATCACAACAAACGTATATTTACTATTAACGAATAAAATGCAAAATATATGTAATAAAAATATTTATTTATTAAATTATTTGCGGCATTTATATTTGAATTTAAATTTTAAAAAAATACTGAAAAAGTGATTGTAATTATGTTAATAAACAATGGCGTGAATGTCAACAATTCTAAATGTCAAATTTGCATTACATCACGAATGCAATTTTGACATTTACAAATGTTGATTTTGACACCAATATTTAAGATTTTCTCATCCGGATTTTATTGAAAGTGAAAAAGTTTGAAATACATATATTTATAGTCATTTCTCCATTGATAGAAGCCACACTATGCTTCTATCAATGCGGATTCACTTTAGTACGGTTCGGGATATTAGAGAAACCGATGTGATGTATTGCTATATTTAATAAACGGCGATACTTGTCAAGTAATATGTAAAGTAACTTGAAGTGTTTGTGAAGTGTGTATAATACAGTAAAATTATTGTACTTAACTTTATAGTTAAAGTCCAAAATACACTGACATATATTTTTTAATGTTTGTACACTTAAAAATACAAATGTCATATGATAAGATGACATATTTATGATGGTACACGTGTTAAAAGTACTTTACAAGTAAAAAAAAATACAAAAGAATCGTGTAGACAATTTATTAGATACCAGAAATTTTTAATTGATTATTTTGTGAATGATATAACTGATAATAATTCATAACAAAATAGGCAAGCCAATTTATAGTTTATGTAATGTACATTTCAATTAATTATAATATTATTATGTAAATTGGCTTCAGCGTAATATGTAATGAAAGGCATGATTAATTAATTAGTAATATCGAACAATTTCAACATTCTATTGTGAAGAAATATTAATGGGCGTTTGGTGTATTTCATTAGTTTTTCAATTTGATGTGAAAATTTATTCTTCTTTCATATTATTTATGAAATATTTTTAGAATTTAAATCATAATTTGAAACTTGTCACTAATCTACTAACAAAATAATTCACAAAATTAATTAATTACTTACAAAATCAAACAATTTTAAGCCTGAAACTGATTATTAAATTTAAGTATTTGAAAGATATTTTAGTTTGTACAAAGTTGCATTTATTTTTGTCTATTCTTCAATGATGATAAATAGATTTTAAATGAACACAAATATTTTTGACAAAATAAAAGTATGAAATGCAGATTTTTTTCTATTTTCAAGAAGTTATTAAAGTGTCACAAATAAATTTTATCATAACCAAACTTTCTTTTTGTATAAATATATGAACTTTCAAAATAAGTATACCAATCATTTGTCAATGACAATTAATTTCAAAATTGAAACAAACTTTCCGGAAAAGTATCAAATGTCAAAAATGCAGTTTGATTTTTTTTCTATTTCCAAGTTACGAAGGTGACACAAATAAATTTTATCTTAACCAAACATTTGTTTTTATAAAAATGTCACCTTTCAAAATAAGTATACTAGTCATTTTTCAATGACTATTTATCAATTTTGATATATTAAGATACGCTCCAATGGCAAAATTGCTGGACAACTCAATACTACTCTGAATGTGTATTTTTCCGTAAATTTTTTGCAAAAAAAAAAACTTTCGAAACCTTCACTTGTTTCATTACGCAATGTTGTTCATTGAGTTAAGTAATTCATGGGCAAAGTGCAGTGCAAATAATGTTCAAGGATCAATTATCTCCTTGTCACATATTGTGATATAAGTATGACAAGGAAATTTGTGTAGTATTAGTTTTCAATATTAGTGTAAAAACAACAAAACTTGTAGTATTTATGTAATATTAATTAAAATATATCTATATCTTATTTATTTATGTAGAACTAATATTTTTTTTATATTAATATCAAATAAATGTAATTTAATCTATTAATAATCTCTTTATTATCTCCATAATCGGTTTATGAAAATACATTGAAATTATTATTATTAAACGTTAAACTTAATAACTTTGGAAAATTAATTAAAATTTTTTTTTTTACTCAAATTTACTCATATTTTGGGAGAATTTAAAGTATATTAAAGTGATTTCAAGTATATGTTAAATATATTATTTTGCATTAAAATTATTTTCTGTTAAATTATTTTTTATTGTTTTTATAACCTTAATAATAATTTATAATTTAACTATTTTGTTGCTTCATTAAAATGATTTAAAAAAAATAAATTAATACATTAATTAATAAATTACACAAACATTTCTACAATTTTTGATTTTATTTAACAGATCTATGATGATAGTGTAGATTTTAAATGCAACTATTTAAATTAATTGGTTATAGTTCAAATGAGCAGATACCAATTATTCAATTAATCTTTATAATGTTCATAAACATATTAAGAATTGAATAATATAGCTTTTCTCTTAAAATTAAATTTTGTACTGAAAATATATTGAACGTTACTTCAAAATGAATGTAATTATGAAATGTTTAATTAATCTACTGTATAGTTTATCAAACATTGCTTTGCTTGAACGGTATTTTTCCCATCAGAAAGCACGAAATTCGGATTTTTGCATTGTTTTGAAAATTACAAAAG